CGGGTGACTGGTGCGAGCTGAAGGTAGGGGTTGAATGCATCGGTTGATTCGTTGGGGGTCGTGACTGTAGAGGAGCCATGACCGTTAAGGATGAGCCATCCATCGTTGGAGTCACTGGAAGAGGCGGATGAGGTAGAGTAGGCACGGTCTAGGAAGGAATGTTAGTATATCGTTGAATGATGTGAGATGTGAGATTGGGATGGGACGGGACGGGATAAAAAGCTTACCAAGACGTGGTTGTTGAGTTGTGGAAGAAGACATAGTGATTTTTGGTGGTGAGTTGTGATTGGTTGGGTGAATGTGAGATATGGTTGTGTTGTTGGAAGGAAGCGGGGTGTAGATTGCTTGATATTGGATTGGTTGTTTGATGTTTGATTGTAAGATTGAGTTGAATGATGAGGAGGAAATGAGGAGGGAAACATCGATGAATATATACACTTTCATCAACATACCTTCCCTCCCCCCCTCCGTGCCTCATTCTTACCTCAATCCATTATTCTCAATACAGAACCCCCAAATTCTTGGAAAGTCACCTATCTGTGTCAGACAAATTCTGGGCATGACCGAGCGCCATTTGCGGATTCACCACCTCCACATCAGTAAGCCAAGATGGCACTGAACGCAATGGAACGGTACATACATGAAGATTATAGTTTGCCAAGCGATATATTGTTTCCCCCCAGCTGGTCTCCTACGCTTGCTCCGCTTGGAGTCGATGGAGAATACACCAGGAATACCGCTACGCATAAGTTTCTTGGCGATGAATATTATCCAAAGAATCTTCCACGCAGAACCTCAACGGGAACTCCGGGAGCCAATCCGGAGTCGTAAAATGGAAGCATGGGCGGAAGTCAATGGACTGCTGAATGTTACGCCAAAATTTCTCCTTATCGAGATTTCCGCAATCACAATAAACGAATTTTAATATAAGTAAAAATATCTTTATTGATGTACTGTACCTGCCAAGGTCATTTCAATCATACCTTGGCAAGCCTTGGAGGTGTTTTCTATGGTATATACAAAATTTTGACATACGTAGGTATTGAAACATTGAATACATTGGTCAAGGGCAAAAAAGAACTTTGCCACAATTCTTTTTCCAAGAATGAAGGGGTAAACTTCGCTTCGCAATATTTTGAGGAGGAAGTACGTACCCGCGACTCCTCTCCTCCAGTATACTCTTTTGAAAATCAAATTGTTACAAGCGGTGTTCCGGCCAAGCTACGCACAGAGTCCTACAAACGATCCGATCCGCCTGAAAAATAACCATATTGGAAACTTATTAAACTATTTAAAGGGAAATGATGGTCTTGGCATCTACGATAAGAGTTTGGTAGATCTTGGTGTTGTGCTGGGCAAACCATTATTGTTCTTCATTGATGATCTACCAAGCAATTTTAAGGTGATAAACATCGATCATTACTTTATGTACCGACGGGAAACGGTAGTTATTAGTTTGACTGTCAACTTGGCGTAAGGCTTTTGTTTCCAAGTTAGTCTACTTTAGTCTGTTGAATAGGGATGGAAGATTCTTGGTTGTTTGAGTGGTGGTAAAGATTTGCAAATTTAGATCTTCTGAAACATGTCAAGTGACTTATTCTTTCCATGCTTTGTATGATTGACAATTTACATGTTTGATCATGAACCATGGTGTATTAGCAACGTGAGATTTGAAATGGAACGTCATTTCATGATCCTGTAACACCAAGAATTCCCAAGTATCTTGGCTATGTAGAGTACATCAACACTGCCTCACTTTTTTCCTTTACGAGCAACGAGTTCATCCACCAACCACCTGTACATTTCGAATGTGCCCAGAACAATACATATGTGGATATATTGCACAATTATTGCCATGAAATCTTAGGAATATCGAAAAAGATATGAAAGGGATACAAGAGTATGCACGGTATCATCAGCCAAGTCGAGCCGAGTATTATTCTGTTCCGCATCTGATACTCAAGAACTTCAACAGTCAGTCTCACTGCATACCTTGTGCTGCGAACCCTCTCGGAAAGTGGCAATTAGTAGCGATCATTCTGACCTTGTCGGTCTTCGAAATCTTATCTCCAATATCACTGCAGCAGTGCAGCTTGCCAAATTTTCCCTTGGTGCATCCTTCACCTTATTCCCCCCACGGAATTTTTTTTCATTGGCAATCTGTACGGTGAGATGTCAACGATGGACAGCGAGACGGGCGTACGGAGTGAGAAGCACACGACAATCTCATCAACAAGATGCAAGCTGGGTGATAAGCTGCAACCGCACTTTACCGATGACCCTAGTTCTTGAGGTGACGGACGTACGGAGGAGAAATGTACGACATTTTCATCAGCAACTTCGCAATACCTGCACCGGTACTGCTACATTCCTTCCGCAGAGCTCCACATTTGATTTCTTCAAGGGATCATAATATTCTAGGGTTTCGGTGGCCAAGGCTGATAATAAGGTAGGATCTTATCCAGAGATCCATCGTGGCGCCTATACGAGACTTTTTTTCAACGTCAAGGATCGAAGAATCCACATTCGTGGTAACATCACTATCAGACATCACATCTTCGATTTGGGAGAGCACGAAATGGCGAATGGAACACTGTACAAAGGAATATCTCCGAGGCTCAAGATGATTTACCTCTTCGTTTGAGTGAAGGATTGGTAACTCGGTCAGGGTATCTGTGACTCCCAAGGCTGTAGTACTGGGAATGGTACCCTTGCGGGGGGGTACTGTTGCTGCACCTAATCGTTCTTCCCGAAAGTTTGTGATGTTACATCTTCATGGAGCTTCGGAGGTGATGAAAATGATAGGTTATACTGGAAGACTAGCCATGATTCTCGAACCGGTTTTGTCTCCACTGCTCATAATCTGGCCCGAGAATATGCCTCAAATTGCCCGAAAGTGCGATGGTTGCTGAAATCAGTGGGTCAGTATGAAACATCTCTTACAGTATCTTTACTCGCATAAGCACTATATTCATTTTTCAAGCATATGATCCTGAGTTCTAGAGCGAGGTTCCATGATATTCTGTAGCACAAGGTTACGACTGACAAGACTCAGTAAGATTCTCAACCGAATCATCAAAGACTCAACATGGCTCATCTCGGAGATGAAAGAGCAAAGCCGAGAGTTCTTGGCCAATAAACTCGCAAAGTCGACGACTTTCGTGCCTCTTCTTGGTTATCATGGGGGCAAGCCCCCAAATCCCCATTGCTCGCTGCGCTCGAAAACATCTCACACAATGTTCGTTGTTTACTATCTTTATAGTCTATGTCCATGGGAGTGAAAATGATGGGCGGGTTTTGAGCTTCTCATTCTGATTGCTCGTTGTGCGCACTGGACTGTTCAAGTAACTCTCATGGAGGTGGCTCCGATGGCCAATATTCAGTATCTGTTGAATGATCATCTCGAAACTAACACATTCTCTCAAACCTTTAGCTCTTACATTGAATGGCTAATCAATCTCACTTGATATTTCACTAACCCAGTTGTTCTTCGTTCTCACAACGCAGTGCTATCTACCATCGCATAAGTCTATCCTCTCAAAGAGATAAAAGGAGTCAGCACTTCGTGGCACTTCGCATAGGGTCCAGTCATCGCCAAGCAGCAATGAGTCATTAGAAGAGAAGAAATTTATCAATTATGATGGAGATACCCTTGATATAGCAGGAACAAAGACACTCATACCTAGCAGAGACCGCCATCGGCCAAATCGCTCTCCATACAAGATTCGAATAATAAGCACATCATATTACCAAGCATTTACATCTAATCTTCTGACCAGATAGAACATAATAGTATTCCTCACATCACATCTTACATTCTATGGATTCTCTCCCCGTGATCTCAGATATCTTTATGCACTCCTTCATCCTTCAACACCCATATATACCAACAAGCTCGCGCCTACACCTTCAACAACCAACCAAAGAAGAAAGATAATTCAATAGCAACACCCAAAAACCAATTAGTTTTGCACGCCCCCCCTTCATTCCATACTTTCCCAACGCCATTACAAATCCCACCAATACTATCCAAAACCGCAATCCAAAGTCCAAAGCCCCAAATCCAAAGCCCAGAACCCAAGTCCAAATCCAAACCCAAACATTCCCCAGCCCACAAACCCACCGTCAGCAAAACCCCATACATAATCTCGCTAAACAATTTACTCATCTATCAATTTATCCATTTATCCATTCCCACACATCTTACTCCCCATCACAAATTTTCGGTAAGCCCTTCCGTAAATCCCTGTTGACCCCGGATTTCGGAATAATCGGGACAATCGGATATGTGAGGTGAATACTGGTACATATGATGATGATAAGGAAACGGTGAATTGACGAGAGATATATGGGATGAAGAGGATAAATGCGCTGATATGGGGATGGTTGAGGATTCAAAGGGACAGTTCCCGTCTTGTTGGTTCTTGGGAGTTGGGGTTGGTGGGGTTTAGTGGGTTTTATGTTGTATATTGTGGATGTTATTGGTGGTGAGATCTAAAGATTATATCTTCTATTACTATTGAGATTTTGATTCCAACATCGACATCAATAACTACTATCTATCTACCTACACCCACGTAAAACCCACCCGCGCCAATTACCCAAAAACTCTCCCTCCAAAAAACAACAACAAACAAGTACAAAAATGCATCACTATCCTCTTCCCTATTTCCTCCCCATCCTCATCCTCATCACTTTCCTCCTCCCTACTACACCCAACCTTCAGAGACAACATTCAAATCGCATCTCCACGTACCACCACATGCTCGAGTGATTATCTAGGAGGTCGTTGTGCTATTGATGAATATGGTAATTGTAGTTCTTGTATGTTATCTAATGCTCTTCATATTTCTCTCCCCTCCCTCCGTCCCCATTCTCACCATTCTTTTCTCTATCCTTCGCCACCCCCAAACATCCAACAAGAAAAAAGGTACAAACGCATCTTTCCTCGGGTTCAACGTACCATGGAATAGTATACGTACCACCCAACGCGCAAATTAATGGGTGTGTGTGAATTCAGTCAATGGAAGGGTGAGTAGTGCACGGTGTTGTGTGTGGAGTTGTGTAATATTTGTCTTCCTCCCTATAAAGGGATATTGTATCTTCCTCTCATCTCATCTAAACATCTGAACCGACTAGCCACCCCCCCTCCAAAAAGATTCAACACAACATATTCCAACGGAGTGGTAATTCCTACGCTTCAGAAATCAATGGTATGTACAGTTAGTAATGCAGGTCTTTCAAAATCAAACAGAATGGAAGATAATGGCGGGGTAAGGGATCGAGGTTGGGGTCATGTGTGGTCATTCTGGTGAGTATGAGATGGTGAACCCGAGAAAAACTGGGATAGCATGGGCTGTGATAGTCACTGTAGTGTAGTGTTAGTGTTATATAGTATCAAACGAGATGTGATGAAGATAAAAGGAGGCCTGAGATGGGGAAGAGAATATTGTGGCATGGATATGAATATTGAACGTGAAAATAAATTGGAATATTGTAAACGACCTGGGAATCATGAATAGATACTAGATAGGCTTCTGAGGTAGTTGATGACAACCCAAAACTCCAACAGCATGATATTTAACACGAAAAGAAACCCCCCCCCCCCCAAAAACAAACAAATCAAAAGTCGGATCTCCCCTACCCTATCCAAACGAGAAATCTAGAACTCTACCAAGTACCTAATTAATACAAACCAAGAAATATCCACATCCATCTCGTCACATCTCTTCCCAAATCCTTCTCCTTCCACTTCGTCACTACAGACAATCGCTAGGTAATATCACAAGGAGTATTTGACTAATAACGTCCAGCTACTTAAATTTGAAAGAGAAAAAGGCAAAGGAGTTTGGATTGTGAGTTCCGTGTATCGCTATTATAATAAGCAACCCAGACAAATATAACACAAATACGGGTGAAGCCTCTGATATACTCAGGTACTATGACAGAAATCCCACCACGTCTTTCAGACATCTTTAGCAATGAAACTGATACCTCAGATACTTGCAGCGAGAGTTGATGTTAGGCGAACAATATCACCACAGAAAGAGATTCCACTTGATACAAAAGTGTAAGAACTTCCCCAATATTAGAATCTCATCATTGATTGGTTTCTAAATCCTATGGATCTCGACTTGGATATATCTATCATACATACATACATACATACATACATACATTCTCCGCCCCCCCCTTTCTTCCCCTTTCACAAAAGATCCATTAATCCCAATACCTAATCGCGCCATCTAACCCCGCCGTAGCAACCTTCGAGCTCTCTTGAGGACTCCACTCCACGCACGTAACAGCTTCTTTACTCGCCTGGAACTTATGATACATCTTGCACTGTTTCCAATCCCAGAAACAAACATAACCACCACTATCTCCCGACGCAAGGAATTGTCCATCAGGACTACATGCCACATCGATAGCATAACCCGCATTATTATGTCCCTTGAAAACTTTCTTTCGATTTTGACGGAATTTGTCTGTAGCTCCATAAACGAAGATATTATTATCAGACGATTGATATGCTACCCATTTTTTAGACGGATGTAGGGAAGCACGTGTCATAGAGTACATGTGTGGTTCGGCAATAAATTTGATAGGGACTGGAATATTGTAATCCCAAGCCCGTAGTGATTTATCATCGGATGTAGTGATGAAGCGTCGGTTTTCATCCACGAATGTAATGGTATTGACAGCTGCAAGATGGTGATCATATTCTTGTACGAGTTCGCGAGTACGGGTATCGAATTGTACAATCTTCTTGTCGGCCATACCAGCCAGAAATTCGTTGCTATGTTCGGGATCGGGGTTGAAGCGAATGACGTGAGGAGTTTTGCCAGTTGTGAACCGGTTTATACATTGACCTGTTTCAGTGTCCCATAATTTCATCATGCGGTCGTAGGAGCCAGAGATGAATTGTGTGCCGGTAGCATTGAATGCGATATCTGTTAAAGCTTTCGTGTGACCTGAATATGTTCGTAATAGCTCTCTTGAATGATGAGCATCCCAAATTTTGACTGTCGTATCGGCACTTCCTGAAAGAAGTAAATGCCCTGATTCCGGGAAGAATCGTATTCCAACAACAGGTTTTGTATGTCCTTTCCAAGTGTGTATCATCTTCTTCGGTACATAGTTCTTGAAACTTCCAGCCTCCTTCTTCAAATCTACGTCCAGATCCAGCGGAACGTGCATGTATGTTCGTCCCTGATAATCATACTGTTCGCTTCCTTCGAAAGTCGTTGTCTCCTCGCCCAATTCTTCGACCTCTTGACGTCTCGCCAAAGCTTGCGGTGGTGCAGCAATGACAGTTCCACTCTCTATTACATCCTCCTCCTCTTCAATCTCTTCGTATTCTTCATCGCTTCGCAATGGTTCATCTTCATTAACCTCCTCATATTCTTCCCTTTTATACTTTGCCCAAGGTCCGACATACGCGTTGTCGCCTTCCGCTATACTTGAATCTCCCTTCTTCTGTCTTTTACTTCGTATCCTAGCAGCTTCCTCCTTGGCTTCCGCACCTGAAAGATGATTCCCTCTCCGTTCCACCGCTCGATATTGATCTCGAAACGTATGTTCACTAATATAGGTCTCCTCTGCATGTCCAGTAAGTACATTTTTGCGCTTAAGTGAGCTTTTTTCGTCTTTGAAAGGATTGGCAGGACCCTGTGTCGCGCGGGCCAGATTATCAGCGTTGTATTGAACCACGGCATGTTCTGGACCTTCTGCATTTCGAACTATGAGGGCATTTTGAGGTGCCATATTGGGCGGATATGCGCCGAAGTCCGCCATTTCGAGAGCTTCGATTTGAATTGATGGGAAGAACAAAATTGAGAGCGAATATTTGTAGAAAATTTTAGTTGTCTTTTTCGTCTCACAAAGTTAAACTCGAGTACAAGGCGCGAGACTATTTTCATGATAGAATGACGAGGCTGAAAACACAAACACGTGATCATGCAGGCGATACATACAAGGCGCCGTAAGCTTTAGTCTATCAATTGGAAGAAGAGGCAATCATTGGTTAGATCAGATGGTGTTTATGGCACAGAATATATTTCAAAAATGCTACTAAAGACAAGTTCATGAATATTTGATAATCGCAAAACAACAAGATTCATTCATATCAAAAAAAAACCATGCCTTTTCTAGCATGTTAGGTATCTATCCACATGAAGCTTCTGTACGAAGTCCACCCGTTATGGAATTCTCCCCATTTTCCTGCCAGGCTCAAAACCAATGGAATGAGCACTACCATTACACCCAAACTGCCACCATTCATCCATTCATTCAGCCATACCATTCATTCGTAGTTAACATATCGTAGAGATCATGGCACATGTAAAACCTGCCACCCATTTTCCGTAGTCTTTTAGTTCCGTCTCGTCGAGCAAGCTCTGCCCTTGACCATAGAACCTATAGCTATACCTATGCCTCCACTTTGTACCGGTCGCCGATGGTGTTCTCAAGTCAATGCGACTCGTCCCGGATCAAGGCAACGATCATAGAGTAGAGGTAGAAGAAGAACATGACAAGATGGAAACCGAGCTTGATGAAGGATTCCTATTGAGGGATGGATATTAGTGAGAGCTTAAGAATATGATGAGACATGCAACCAAGTATTATCTTACTTTCTTGTGGACATTGAGCTTTCTGAAAATTTCGGTAGCATCGAGAAGATGTGCGTTATCGAGAATCCTACATATCTGTTAGAGCGAATGCCTAAAATATTGATATTCCAACACTGCAGCGGGAACCTACTTCTTGACATTGAATGCCACGAGTGGCAGATTGAGAACGAGCGCAACCCAGTACCCGTTGATAAGGAACAAGAAGGTCAAGAACCCATGAACTGCGGCTTCAGGAATAATGTACGTGTTCAAACGGTTGCAAAGATCGATAGGGTTGATGTAATCACTGTGCCATTCGTTGTTAGCATTATTTCGTAGTATGATGAAGCTTGAGCTGTTCCCTCCCAGTAGCAAAGGGTCGACGATATACATGCTTATCGCATATGGTGGAGGCCAAGTCTCTATCACTCTGTCCACCTGTCCGAATCCTCCGCAATCCTGGATTGAAGAGGTAACAAAGTGAAATCAAACTTACCACTCGAGATCACTATACATAATAGTGAAGAATACCTGCAAGAACAGATTGACGGCGTTGATAAGCACCGCCAACAGGTACAACCATGCCTCTCCTGACATCATCTTGGGCAACCTATGTGAATCGCGTCGAATACGCGATTAGAAAGCCTTTTGTATATTTTCTCAAGTTGCAATATCTGCGATGAAGGTCTCCGAATATATATTCGAGTCAAGATGTTGCTTCTAGGAGCTCGGATGGTTGCGTGCGTGTTGTTTGTTGTCTGTTTTCTGAAGGGATTTTTTTTGAGTATGGGTATTTCAAGTTTAAGCTCTAAAGGTGGGGAAATCCTCCAAAATCGGCACCCGTGTTGATTGCACCTTGGTGAGAGAAGAATCTAGATGATGTTGGCAGAATTATTTCTTATGCAGTACCACAGTAGTTCGCTTTTCCTAGAAGCTTATAGTAAGTGGGAAAGATTCGGATGATGATCTACAAGCGGCGAATGACGAAGCTCTTGGAGACTTATTAGAAAGTTTGTTACATAGTACGGAGTTATTGTGTTGATAGATCAAGATCTAGGATTTGATCTCTTCTGATAGGATAAAAGGTAATACAGTATTTCATTCGCTTATGCATGTATAAATTGTGCATATTTGTCAGGGGCATGAACGACTCGTAGATAGATAGGTAGAAGTGAAATAGATGTATTCGTACTGTCAAGGCTTCAAGTATTGTGTTGGAAAGCGGTATTCAGATTTACTCCTAATTGCCTCCTGATTTATTAGTCTTAGAGGCTATCATATCTTTGGGATGACTAGTGGTTCGGAGCTTGGGAATGCCATTTCCTATTCACACAGGATTCATGGGGTCACAAAATTTACCCTCTTCCCCTCATTACCCTCGATATGGCCCTGTTGGCTATTGGCTTGGCTATAATCTATCTATACTAATTGTCTTTCAAGCTGCCACTTCCTTCGTCTCCCCATTGGTCTCCTCGGCAACGACTGGCATTGGTATGGGTCCACCAGGAGAGTCGGGTAGTCTTCCTGTCAATATTTCACAACCATCATCTGTGATCAAAAGAGTATGCTCTGCTAGATGTTAGTAGATGATCACAGTCAATGAGTCCAAAATTACATACCAAATTGGGCAGTTTTCTTTCCATCTTGAGTGACACTAGTCCAGTTATCTGGCCAGGTCTTATCCTTGTGTGTTCCTAATGCAATCATGGGCTCGATTGTGAAGCACATTCCAGGTTTTGCTGCACCTACAGCCTTATTCTTCGCATAATGAGGAATATTTGGGGCGCAATGAAACAAGCTGTTGATTCCATGACCACAATATGCCTTGATGACGCTACAATTCGACTCCTTGGCGCGCTTTTCTATAACATTTCCAAAATCTCGGAACAGTACTCCAGGCTTAACGATTTTGATGGCTAGATCCAAACATTCTCGTGCAGCTTCCACCACTCGTACGGTGTCAGGGTCCGCCTTTGCTTTATCGCCAATATAATATGTTTCGTTGAGATCGCCGTGGAAGCCTCCGTGGTATAGTGTAACGTCGATATTCAGAATATCACCATCTTTCAAAACCCGCCTATCTGGAATACCATGGCAAATGACTTCGTTGACGGATGTGCAGACGGACTTTGGGAAATCGCAGTAGTTGAGAGGAGAAGGATACGACTAGGCTGATCAGTACATTCGATTGATCTCTCGACAAGGTACTCACGTTTCTCTCCAAGCAAGCTTTGTGTACGATCTCATCAATGTAGTCGGTAGTAACTCCAGGTTTGGCGGCTGCGGCTGCGATGTCCAAAACTTCTCTACCCAATCGACAAACCTTTCTCATGCCTTCCTGCTGTTCCTTGTTCAAGATCTCAATCTTGTTTCTTTGACTAGTTCTTTCGCTGCGTGGAACTCCATCTCTCCAGTAATCGGGGTGCTGAATAGTTTTTGGTACCTCTCGATGGTCGGATAATGGGTAAACAGGTCGTAACGACCCGGTAAATGGAAAGGTAGGAAATGGATTGAATAGTCCGGTAGCTGGATCGGGTTTAGAAACAACTTTTGGGGTAAAGATATTACTGAGGAAATTACTCTGTGACTTGTGAACTTTCTTATGTTCACTCTGTGAACATTGTTAGCATTGCGCTGAATTGAACACTTGACCCCTCCAAAACCTCCTCCGAGGGGCAATCAAAGTGGATGACATCTGATGCTGTGCCAATTTGCTGAGAGGGCCGAAAATACTTTGTGGGATGGATGAGAAAGGATTGAAGTGTACATACCCAACTCTTCTTAAAACAGTCTTGCGAACAGAAAAAGCTGTCTTTCGTGCCAAGCTTTAAACATGTTGGACATTGTAATGAGCCAGCTTCATTCTCGCAATCAACGCCTATGCATTTTCTTGGAGATGCCGAGTCGTCTGATGCCATATTGAAGAAGATCTACAAGGAATTTATAATACGGGAGTATACAGACTTTCCGAGAGACCTTGACGGTTAAACAGTCTCGTTATAACCTAGTGAAGTAGGACAAGGCGAAATTAAATTTCTGGTAAATTTCTGTCAGCCGTGTTCCCAAAATGTGTTCTAGAAAGGGCGTCAAGACAAGTAGCCAATTAAATTAACAATTTGTGCTAAGGCGGTATCTTGTTTCAGCTTAGTGTTCATAATATTTCATTAAATCATACGATCACGTGAGATGAGGAGTGATTTTAGTGAAATGATTTCTAAAAATGCTAAAGTCTTACCAAATAGACCCTTCACTAATGAAAAGTCACCGGACCGGAGTACTATATATTTTCAAGATGCCATAAGCCAAATAGGATTCTTAAAAATTTGCCTCAATCTTTTTGAGTCGACAATTTAATCGAAGATGTCTGGACAATCTTCAAGACAGAAGACTGTTATTATTGGAGCTGGCCCGGTTGGAGCTTTGGCAGCTTTATATGCAGCTCAACGAGGGGATGATGTAGAGATATATGAACTCCGAAGTGGTAAGTTTTGGTTCTATCATATTTTTGCCTGGTTAGTTTGCAATGCACAGGAACTACTCAAGGAAATTTAGAGACAATCTGTACATGACAAAACACCTCAGTGAAAGTTCACTTCCAATCCGGCACAGAGACTCTCATTTTGAAGTTCCTTTCCTTCATGTAGATGAGTCATGTGAAGATATCGCCACCAATTTCACAAGGGGAAGCTTTCATGTTGGTGGTGTTCCGGAAGGTTGAATCAAGTTCAGTTTGGCACATTGTACCCTTTTCCAGTTCTCTCTAGATGTATACATTACTGGAGAACAGATCCCTTTCATCATTGCTACATCGGGCTTGCGAACTTACGAGTCAATCTTGTGATCCCCCCCATTAACAAAGACTTAGATCTTCGGGATCCTTCCACAACACCTCTCAATTTCACAAAATCTATCAATCTCGCTTTATCAGAGCGGGGCATCAATGCCATAAGACAATCTGGTCGCACAGCACTTCTTGATAGTATCATGAAGGAGGCGATACCGATGGGAGGTAGGATGATTCACGGCGAAACGGCTAATAAGGAGCTTTACGAACAGTCTCAAGACTATGATATATATGGAAGAGTATGAATATCTATGACGACAGTAGCAATGCCATTACTAACACGATATTTAGTCAATATATGCTGTTGACAGAGGAGATCTCAATAAAAGATTACTCGATGAGCTCGAGTCTCTTCCCAATGTCAAATTCAAGTTCAATCACAAACTAACTGGAGCTGATTTTAAAAACAAAAAGGCATGGTTTGAAGTTCACGGTGGAAAATCTCTTCAATGGTCCGTCGAAATTAGAGACCAAGAAGTGGAAGTAGATTTTGATTTCCTCATTGGAGCTGATGGGGCTCATTCGGCTACACGTTATCACTTAATGAAATATCTCCGAATGGATTATCAGCAAGAGTATATCGATACTTTGTGGTGTGAGTTCACGATAGATGCTCAAAAGCCAACTGGGGAGGATCCAGCATCTCGGTTTAAAATATCTCCACATCACTTGCATATCTGGCCCGGTAAAGATTTTATGTTCATCGCAATCCCTAGCACGGTATGTAGGCCCTGTTTTCTTTTCTTTTCGATTTTCTTCTTACACATATTAGGATGGTTCATTTACTTGCACTCTCTTCATGCCATCGAGGTCGTTCAATGAGCTCGAAAACGACGCTAAAGATGTCCCGGCTTTCTTCGACCAACATTTCCCAGGTGTCACAAAACTAATCGATCATGCTTCTTTAATATCATCATTCAAAAATAACCCACATCTTCCACTCATAAGCATAAAATGCAAACCTTACCATTTCCTAGATTCAGTCGTCATCCTCGGTGATGCCGCTCACGCCATGGTTCCATTTTACGGACAAGGAATGAACGCGGGTCTGGAAGATGTCCGCGTTCTCTACTCCGTTCTCGATGACGAGAGGCGCAATTTCCCCCTTCTCAGCACCGAAGCCTGTCGTTCTGTTGCTCTTGGCGTTTACTCCGAAATCCGTAAAGCCGATGCACACGCTATCAACGATCTAGCTTTCGAAAACTACTTTGAAATGCGCGCAGCCGTTATCTCGCCGGTCTACAAATTCCGCAAATGGTTGGAAGAAACATTGAGTGTATACGTACCTCGTCTTGGATGGCAAACCAAGTACTCCCGTGTTAGTTTCAGCAATGAGCGGTATTCCGAAATTGTAAAGAAGAGCCAGAAGCAGGGCAAATTGATCATAGTGGGTTTGGTAAGTGTATTGACTTCACCGATCGTAATTGGCGGATTATTGGCATATTACAGATGGAGAAGAGCTCATGATCCTACAAGGGGATTCTTGAAACATGTGGCGAAACTGGGTGCACTGATAGGATGGAAGACTGCTTGAGGGAATATATGCGTTGGTTCATGTATTCTTTTTTTGCTGCACATTTTCCACTTCTTGTATTATAGCGGTAGAGAGCGATTTTAGATTATGGGTAGAGACGAGTATATACCATCTGTAGAAATATATTTTGAATTCTAACGAATATACCTTTTGAAGAGAAAATTACACTGCCCTATCAAATGGGTCGCCTGTCCAATATATGGCATCTCATGTTTCGTGATATTTAATAGCAAGATATCATGAGTATATGCCCGTGATCTATAAACAACTTCGGGGTTTCTATCTTCGCTTCTTGTTTCTTTAGCAGATAGATAGATAGCTGGATTCCCGAGTAATCTCCCCGGAGACAAGTTGTTCTCTGTTGATTGAATATATGAAGGTCAGAGAGAAGGGTGCCCAGGTGATTTGATATTCACTGTGATGTTATGTACCTTGTTGGTACCGTCTCCAATATTATATAGAAATATAATGAGTGTACTTGGGAGAGTTCAATTCACTCGGGAAGAGGAGAATGACTTGCAATTGGACGTGTTTCGAGTTCGCTTATGTAACCCACACGGAAAGTCGACGGGTGGTTAAACTTCGGTTGATTTACTGGACTAATTTCCGGCATTGTTGTTGCAAAAATCGAATGTTGTCTTGAACGGGGTGGAATTCGCGTTGACTGTCTTGTCTGTCTTATTACATTCACCGTGAGATTGTGAGAGGTGGGTGGTGAAGTATCAATTATCGAGAATATTCTCGAGTATATATCTTTGCAACGGATTTCTAACTTGTATCAATTCGAAGGAGCATAATGTGTTACTCATCGAGGTAATGGTAATTGTCAGCCCTTCACGAGTTTCACGGCTCCAACGCGTAGCATTCGCGGCATTTTTTGGCTTCAAACTTTCGCCAAATCTTCAATATGGGAAACCAAACACTGTTATCTCTTGAGAACAGCTCTGGTCCTATTGGCAATATATTGCTTCCCAATAAGGTTATAATGCTCATTGTCACAATTCTCGCAATAACCACCGCAGCCTGGGTGGTAAGATTCATTCAATACAGAAATTCATACAAGGAATATGTAAATGTCAATCTCTCCTTCAATTCTACGCATGCTGACCAACTCGATAGGCATCTGGAATACCTTGCCCGCCTTTCAGTACTTTGCTAGGCACATTGAAATCCATGGGCGATCAATATGCTCACGCACCAATGACTGCACATCCTCATGGTATTATGACCATGATATACGACAAGTACAACTTAAAGGACATGTTCATCCTGGACAATTGGCCATTCTTTCGTTGGAGACAAATCATTATTTGTGATCCGGTATGTTTATTCCTTCCGGTCATGATATTTACGAAAGCGTCAATAGGTAGCATCAAGTAACTGACGTTGGAAAGAATCTCGCTGCACAATGCACGCAAAACCACTCACTCCCAAAATCAATTGTCACTGGGCAATATGTTGGCCATATTACCGGGAAGAGAAGTATTTTACTTACTGAAGGTTTGGAGTGGAAGAAGAACCGGGCACTGTTTAATCAAGGGTTTGCTATTGCTCATCTGACAACACTTATGCCCAGTCTTGTCGACGAGGTAGAAATCTTTCGCGATGTCTTGGGCAAACTTGCCGACTCGGGAGAAGTCTATCCAATTGAAGAAGCGGCTGCATTCTTGACGATTGATATAATGGGTCATGTTGTTCTAGATATCAATTTGAACTCTCAAACGATGAAGAGTGAACTGGTCGAATATTTTCGAAATTCTATCTCTTGGACACCAAAAATTGTTGCGACAAATCCATTGGTAAATCTAAACCCTTTAGGTCCAATCATGCGAAAGTATTACAAATGGAAAATGGACGGCTATATTAACAAAGTACTGGATACTCGATTCGCAGAAAAGGAAGGGAGTGCCACGAAAGGTAAGAAAAAGCCTGTTATTGATACTGCTCTCGACGAATATATTCTCCAACAAGAGGAGGACAACGTCGCATTGGGTGATCGAGGATTGGATCAAACTTTCAAGCAAGTATCAATCGATCAAATGAAAACGTTTCTATTCGCTGGCCACGACACTACTTCGAGTACTATTGCCTACACGTACCATCTCTTAGGTAAAAATCCTAAATGTTTAGCCAAAGCGCGAGATGAATTGGATAGGGTATTTGGAAAGGACACTTCAAGGACTGGAGATATGATCAAAGAAAACCCGAGTATAGTAAATCAGCTACCATACGTATATAGCTGTATTAAGGAAACCCTTCGGAGGTACCCACCCGCAGATACAGCGCGACATGGCGATGATCTCGTGCTTGAATATGAAGGTCGACAATACCCTACTAAGGATTTCATGGTAATGGTTTGTGTCCATACTATACATCACCGGGAGGATCTTTTCCCTTCCCCTTACGAATTCATTCCTGAACGATTCATGCCTGCACCGGACAACTTCCAAGAAATCCCAAAGAATGCTTGGCGACCATTTGAAAGGGGACCCCGAGATTGTATTGGACAAGAACTTGCTCTTCTTGAAATGAAGATCGCAATGGCTATGACTTTGAGAGAATTCGACATTAATTCCGATTATGAGACTTGGGATCGAAAACTTGGTAGGAAGGAACCTGGTGGTATTCTCAATGGTACACGTGGAATGTTTGGTGAGAGGATTCTTCTGCAAGATTAGACTGATATCAGTAATGCTAACAAAACGTTAGGAGATCGTGCTTACCAAGAATTGATTGCAAGTGCTAAACCGTCCGATGGGATGCCGGCGAGGATCAAAAGAAGGGCGCATAATTAATTGGATTATTATGATTTGCAAGATCCGATAAATATTATATCACATAATGTCATGCGATTGAGATGAAGATTAGATAACGACAATTGAAGATGGAAGTGTCACATCACGACTCTTTTTTTCAACATGCGAAAAATACTCTCCTGTTCTTATTACGATTTCCTCGCAAAATTTTGATTGGGCGAGATTTCATCCTGGCAACACGTTTAAAAATGTACAAAGGAAGCCTATCAAAGCATTCTTTGGATCTTTACTGTTCATTCATCAGTGTAGTGCTGTGATGAAATCGATGTTGGTGTTCCAGACCCATGAATCTGTACCGAAGATGTCGTTGAGGTGTTCCGACCTCGCTAGACCGCGCTAGATCCCTGCTCAAACCCCCCCTTGTCTCAACTTCGTCTCAAAGCCTTAGCTTCAGACGGAGACTAAAATTAGATAAGCGATCTCGGAATGCAAGGATTTCGGGATGCAGGGGTTTCGGAAATTTTCAATCAAATTTATTTAAAGCTTACGATCTATCTGGTAGCTTGTTTCCCCAGATTTCATTGAGTGGACCGTATGTTTTGCAGAACTGCCAAATTAAGTGACCTACCCGAAGATTTCCGACAAGGGGTCCTACAACGGGTACAGTGACGTTCTATAGTAAGCTTATAGTAGAGGCACAAGACGTTTAGAATAGTGAAAAGTGAGACTGAAGTGCTTCATCTGATGTCTGGAATTCTTCAGAAATTATAATATCGTTCGGTTTTTTGATGCGAAGGGTGGTAAGTAATCTCGCAAAATTTGATCGGTGTGAAAAAGACTAGGGTTTCTCACAATTTTAAGTTCATGTCAATGATGTCAGCTAGGTTCTGTCATCTGAAGTTTGTATCAGCCCTAGCATTTTCGTCCTATCTCCTGGGTTAGCTTGCTAGTTTCAACGATATCGACGTTGCTCAAGCAGTAAACTTAACCGCCGTATAGTATGATCTTCTACCAGCATGCAAAGTCTGCATCGATCCCCAGGAAATTGATTGATCGTCCCTTGAAGTCAACTCTCACTCTCGTCATGTATAAGTACAAGATGTTTCTCCTTCGATAATTTTCTTTTTCATCATCATCCATTCGATCTTCCTCTCAATCTACAGTTTGACTGTCTTTTCAATCATTTAGTTCTGTGAACTACTCCGTTCTTTGCTATAATATTATTTAAAACACTCATTACATATATCCTTCAAATTAGGCCGGTCCAATCTTTTAGTTTTTAAACGGTCAATCTTCATACTATCTTTATTCAAAACCAACCCTATCACATCGATATTAAAACAAAACAAATCATCATGCGTTCAAAGACTATCTTCACTTCTTTGCTAGTTGCTTTGGCCGAAGCTCGGTATGTTCTCTTATCTACAAGTGCTCAAGTTTTGCACATATCCTAACTTTTCAATCTTAGTTTGGGTCAAGAACAAGGCAATGGAGCAATTGCTGCCATTACTGCTCTCACTGATTTCGGAACCTCAGGTGCAGCCGCATCCCTCGGAGGGGGCTCCATTCAATTTCTCCTCGCGGCTGCCAACCCCTGCGGCAAACTCACCCAAGCCGACGCCATCGTTGCGCAACTTGGCAATGACCCTGCTGTCATTTCCGCAGCGCGCGGTCTCGTAGCTGCCGAACAAAATTTCAATCCTTTCGTCGTTTCCGCCCCCAATGTCTGTTCTGACCCAACTTTACCTACTACAGCCGCTCTTCGCGGTGTCGTTCCTTTGATCGATCCAGCTGTAGGAGGAAGCACAACAGAAAATGTAAATAGTGCAACAAGTACCACAACGCCATTTGCAGCTGATGGTCTTAGTGTTGCAGATGTAATGGTTGCGCAGGGTTTCTCAAATTTCACAACTACAGATGCAGCGGGAAATAAGGGAACTTCATCTGGATCTACCGCTACGAGCGGAAGTGTATCAACTTCGAATTCCACTGCTAGTGTTGTTTCTTCAAATATTTCGAGTGTGGCTGTGGCTGCCGTCGCGGCGGTCTCTTCAAGTGCAGCTTGTGGAGGTACTACTCTTGTAACCATTACTATGGCCGCTACAGCCGCTGCCACTCCCGCAGCTTCCTCCTCTGTCGCCTTAAACAACTCTACATCCTCTACCGCCTTAACCAACTCCACCTCCTCAAGCTCCCAAGCTTCCTCCATCACCGGTCTCGACTTCGGTCTCTGCGTCCCCACCATCAAATTCGAAGCTGGACTCGACGGTCGTAAAGACACCGAATTCACCTTCCAAGCCATCGATCCCTTAGTCAACAAAGGCCAGCAAGAAGCACTCAATCCTAATATCATCACCAATAGAATCTGCGATCAATTGGCTAATGTGTGCAATGCGAATGCGGCGGCAAAAACCGCGTGTGCGGATGCGAAAACGAAAATTAGTGCGTTGGGCACGAAGGATGTGACCACGGCGGATGCTTGGAATACGGCTTTGGGCTTTGAGGGCGCGAATACAAATCCGGATAATGCGCCTCAGGCGGGGTTAGTGGGTCATACTTAGGGGGTGGATGGGGGATTGGGTGGGATAGGAGAGGAGATGATTGGATTTGGATTGGGAGGAGATTTTATGGGATGAAATGAGATGAGAAGCTCAGATGAGTATGAGAATATGAATATTTGTATAATTACCTAGTACACGGATTTGATATATGATCATCATACTTACGAAACAAGGCACAGCTAAAATCGTTCCGTTTTCTTTTTGTGTGATGATTGACTAACCCCATTTCATCTCTTAAATTTCTCGATCATGTGGTCGTTTCTTACATACAGCGATTTGATTTTCATTTTTGTTCATTTCGTTTCATTTCGTTTCATGCTTGGAGATAATTAGGGTAGATGATCCATCGGAACACAAGTGTTCGGGGAGATCAATTACAGGTAGTGCCTGATGAAAGTTCAAGTTAACCATGCAATGATGATGATTAATCCGATTTTATTTTTCTCTTCTTTCTTTTTAAAAGAAATCGTGATGATTTCACTAGAGGGTGACGTTGGGAGTATTGTACTTAGTATCATAACTCTCGGTTTCAATCAGATGTGGTGTTGAGGTTGGTTGTTATTGTATAGTGTACTTTGTTGTGTTGGTATGTTTTTGTAGTGTTGAATAAGGGTTGTTCTTTGTGAGTGGTATTCAGTCACGAGCGGAATCTGGTGCTTTTTTTGTAGGCTTATTTAATGTAATCTATATTCTATTTTCTTACGACTGTACAAATGTGGTCTAGATCTTTCTTTGACGTCCAACGTCTCACTATCCGTACTACTTTCCGCTGATACAAGCTTTAAGGATTCCTTGAACATCAGAATCGCTCTTTACAAAAGCGCCCCCAAATTGAGCCAAATTATCTTCTGATAAACCTCTTTGTGCAGCGGCTGCCTCGCCTAGAACCTCTTCATCACTTTCGTATGATTTTCCTACGCCCCCGAGAAGAAGGCCCATGATTGCGAAAGGAGCAGATGACGGGTCGTCCACAATATCATACGCAGTGGGAGCCACATTACCGATGTCTTCAATCAAAGTGGCAATTCTAGCTACACTGGCAATCCCACCAAACAGCGCCCCTCCACCTTCGCCGATAATGGGTACTACCATGAGTACTATGCCCAAAATCTCGAGAATCAAATTCTTCTTGTCCTCTTCTTCTACTTCGGCACCGATTTCTTTAATGTTATTCATCGAGTCGACAGCATTTTGGAGCATGAAGACTGGTGTACTAAGGGCTGTAATGATGCCCGAATCGTTTGCTTCGCTGACACCAAGCGTAAACTCGAAATACAGTGCCATAGCTACAGTTATCAAAGCGGTAATATTGGGCATAGCTTGCTGCCTCTATGACTGTCTTAGGGTTTGTGACGACAACATTAGACGCTGTAATCGGAACATTGGTCTTTCGATGCGTGACTTTGATGCAGGAGCTGCCTCCACTGCTTCCTCCAGGCCCGACTGCCCGTGGAATGATCTGCAACGTCCCTTGCACGATAACGCAATCTGTCGGCCCTTCCCAATCTCCGAATGCAATCTAGTCTTTCTCGATGCCTATCTAGCTTGCGACCGCTACGTAAAAGCCATTAGAGTCAGTCAGTGTATACTCAAGATTCCAACTTTCTGAGGCGCTGTTTAGTGAACTGATCTGAGTGCATGGAACTGTGGCAGTCCCCGTGCCACCTGCAATCCATCTGCAGTCAAAGAAGGCGTTGCATTGACCAGTTCCAACATCCATAAAGTCACTGAGGGCAGGACCAACGCTGTCCTTGACCCACTGGGCGTAGTAGCCAAACTTATCGTCAAAGCCTTTGACAGAAATGTTATACCCGTACTGTAAGTTGCCAAGGGTCTCAAGTAGGATGCTTAACGTCCATCGGCTCCAGCACTGAGATGGAATTGTTGATTCAATCCAGTCAATTGATGAGTGTTGCGGCTTCTTGCTATAATAATGCCAGAATACTTCGGAAGCCGATTTGGCCACGTTGTGGGGCAAGATTGATAATACAAACCCATGATCTGAGGAGTTGCCAGGAGGATTCTTCAGATTGCACATGTGAAGTGATGGGTCAAGTAATCTGGCTTTGCTCTAGCTAATTATCAATCTCTTTCTATTGGCGCGCCAGGTTGTCTCGCAAGCTAATCTGGTAATGCAGACATTGCGGAGATCTTGGCCGTGAACGAAATTAACCAACAGTTTCAAATGATAGGCATCATCATCGATTATGTCAATACTGGAAATTAAACAATCTGCTAGGCAGTCTCTAAAGGCACTTGCCTGCTCGCCATCGTCTTTACGTATAATATAAGATTGAATGCTTTCAGCGTGGGAAATTCCATAGCTGGACTCGCATGTCTCCGTCCATCTTAGATGGAGCCACCGATCTGAACAGGCTCCACGAATTCGACAATGCCGGCGACGCCATCAGCTAATGCAATGTTATACTCTTGACTGGATCTCTACTATTGTCTGAATTGGCACGCGTTGATGGGAGATATATATGATGTGGCTGTTATCGTGTACGAAAAACAGTCGAATTCAATCAGGCCAACTTCCTGGGTCTTCGGGAATACAGTTGTAATTAACATTGCGGCCTCTCAAATATGCGCATTTTACGCATCTAGTATTCACAGCCCCGCCAGATCCGATGGAAATCGGCGAGGTTGAATCTCCCGTTGCTAGCCTTCGTTCCGTGCAGAATTTCGCGTCTAGATTGACCTCTGCGAGCTCATATGTAGCAGTTGACATTATCCTTTTAGTGCTTATGCTTGGTACATGAAGCTCGATAGGACGGGTGGTTGGATGTGGCCTGATGCCACTTGATGTTTTAATGTCTGTTCTCATTGAGAATCTACCCGAGGGAACCTGTCTGCACACGGAGATTTTTTAAGAGAGAAGAGATGTTACACGTACCAAAAGCTATCGGGATTTCATTTTGCCTATCCTATTTCGGTGGATTCAGTTTGAGCAGTGTCTGGTAATTGATGCTTGGTGTTTGAAGCAGATTATTGAAGTTGGCGTGAAGTGAAATGAACGCAACTCACAATAGCTTTACTCTTGGAGGTTAACTCTAGAATAATAATATTATTATTATTAGTATTCTAGTATTAGTGGAAGACTTAATCACTTTAGCTTTAAGAATAAATCGAATATAGTATGAGAGTTGAACTGAAGTCAAATTATAAGAAAGAGCTTAATTGAGTTGAATTTACTTGCTTTTTCTAGGTTTTCTTTAAAGAATATCCTAGGTTTATATAGTTTATAATGAAATTCTAATTTCGATGCTTATAAATAAGATCGATTTAAATCGAATCTTATAGAGTTATTTATATTATAAAAATAAATTACAGTTAATCAATTTAGTCTACTTTATTAATGATCTTCTATATGATTTTATTATATTCTATTCTGTTATAAAATCAATTTGATAAGAGATATAATAATATAATAATATAATTTTATGATATAAAATCATATCATATATATATTAATCATTAATACATCTTTTGATTAGTAAAATATTAATAAGTGATTTAGTATACTTATTATAGAATCTCACATTTACGAACATATGCATGTATAAATACTAAGGTGCAATCGTGAGAAGATCTCGACGGCTTTCGTACGGACGTGTAGGCGATAGAGATCTTTGTCTCTCTAATGGGTGATCAAATGATGCAACAGTCAATTCATTATATACAGAAGACAACCGCTCAGCTTACATAGTATCAAAAAATAAAATGAGTCCTGTTATCTATCTATGGTAGACCATTAAAACAACTTCGAATATATCATACATAACATTCTTATCTCCTATATAATCTTTTTATTTGATATTTAAAAACTTATTATTTAAGTTATTGAAACAATTTTAAACATTTTTGATATATATTATTCTTATTTTGTAATATAATTAACACAATTATATATTTTATGAATTATATATTTTAGAAATTAAAATTTTCTATTTTTATAATTAAAATTTCTAAAAAATGATTTGTATTCTATTTTAATTAGTCTTTTAAAATAAAGTATTATAGAAGAAATTTATTCGATAATAATAGTTCTTAAATGTAGTAGTATAATCTAAGATTTATTTATATATTTTTATATACTTTAAATGCTTTAATAGTAGTAGTAAATTCATAATCGATTCGGTCTATCTAGCTATACTAAGACTATATAATGTATCTATATATAGTTCTAATTGAATAAAGTAAATAGGAAAAAGAAATAAAAACCTACCTCCTCTTGAACTTCTTTATTAAAATCTACAAACAACCTTCCGAGCAATCCTTTTAAATTCTTTAAATTGTTTATATTATAAATCTATTATAACGTAACGTATGGGGAACTCGGACATATGGGGAACTCGGACACTTTTTCAATTATTCTACACGCGATCTTGTTCTACGAGCCACACAATCCTCCAATTCCAATTCCGAATCACTTGAACTATTCTCTAGCTCTTCTTCTTCAATCTCTTCTTCTGATTCTTCAATTGGGCGTTTGCGTGGCCGTCCTCGTGGCTTTTTCTCCTTCGGTTTTTCCTCCGCCTCACGTACCATTTTCAATACTTCCTTAGTACTAAAGACAAATTGACCTTGTAATTTGACTCTTTTGCCTTTAGTTCTTTTCTTTCGAGTCTCAATTACCTCCTGAGCATCAGAGAGCTGTTTCCGAAGTAGGGCTATCTCAGCATTTTGAGATTCTACAAGCCTAGTCATTCTCTTGGCATATCGACGAGTTGGCGATGCAGGAGAACCACTGCTTGCTAGAGCTGTATTAAAGATCTGATTTGCTTGCCTTAGCTCTGTTCCATCTGGAGGAGAACTCCTGAGTATAGACAAGTCTAGGTCTTGATTGGGGGTTCTCATTTGTGGAGTAGAAGGTTGCTGGGAGGAGTTAAATGGTAATGAATCGAGTACTTTTCGTGGGGCAAAAGGTACTAAACCAGCTCCTCTCCAGCCAGCTTTAATATTAGAAGAATTCAATGCTTTTTTTCTAATATTTTGAAAGAGTTCTACCCATTCAGCTCTTTGGATTCGCTTTACACCAGCTCGAGAATATCGATCGACCTCTAAAGCATGATATCGTTTCATTGGCCCATACACCGCAATATCAAGTGGCTGAAGCAAGTGAGAGCAATGAGGAGGTAATATAAGTAAATCAATATCATTATCTATACAGAAAGCAATAAAGCTACCTGTAATATGGCTTGAATGGCCATCCATGATCAAAAGTCGAGGTCGGTCACCTGACACTTTCTTGGATTCTGGTTCGAAAACCCTTTTTCACCATTCTAATCCATGGCTATTTGAGGTCCATCCATTTGTACTAGTAGAGAACTGCCAGCTTTGAGGTGTGTCCTTTGGAATCCATGCAGAATTCGTATTCTGAGCCTTGAAAATGACCATAGGTGATAGAGCATTTCCAGCTGCATTGACACATTCAAATGCAGTTATCCATTCTTGCTTGCCAGCTGTAACTTTCCAATTCGATTTCTGAGTAGAATCGACTATAATGCGCGTACTTTGAGTACTTCCAACTCCAAATCCGGTTTCATCCATATTATACATATCATCTAATTCATACTTTCGCTCAATGAGACGCGTGCGAAACGCGTCAAACCAAGCCTGAATATTCTCCGGAGTTGCTTCTTTAGCCCGATTAGACTCTAATTGACGTGAATAGCATGTTTTAAGTTCTGGATGTCGTTTTTGGAATCTATAGATCCATTCGTGGCCTATAGGTGGAATTTCTGTCGAGGTAGGATTTCGAGATGACGCGACCCGAACGCGTCGAAGACGAATTTCGTCGGCCATTTCCTTCACCAACATAGGTGTAGCAGGGAATCCAGTGATGGTAAGTCGTGAAATCCATCGTACAAGAGTATTTTCTTCTGCGTTTGAAAGAATTTGAGCCATTTCGTGGGTTTGGGAACGTGTTTTCTTCCCAGCCAGCCTATCAGCTAGGGTAGACTTAGGGACTTCAAAATGCTCTGCAGCCTTTCTAATTGATTTAAATTCTTTCAATTGAAGTGAAATTATAGCCTTTTGAAGCTTCTCTTCAATTTGAGCAGATGTAGAAGGTGATTGGGTATGCATAATAAAAGTTATTGCGGTTTCAAGTTGGTGATGGGCTAAAAGTGTCCGAGTTCCCCATATGTCCGAGTTCCCCATACGTTACGTTAATAAACCTGTTATTAATAATATCAATATTAATAATTTTAATATAAATATATTAAACCCCCCTCCCCAATATCAACAATAATATCTCCTTAATCTAAATAAATATCAATTCAACAATTTCAAAAAAAGATAAAGGATAATATTCTGATTCGAATATAATAAAGATTAATGAGTTTTTTTAAGAAAATCTTTGCTTAGTTTTTTTGTGTTTTTACTTTAATATATTTTTAGTTTTATTAATTTAAATATTAAATAAGTTTTCAATAGAATAAACTATAATATAAGTTCTAAAATACTTTAGAAAATAATAAGGAGAATATTAATAATACACAAACCTATTCTTTTAATACTGAAAAGCTGAAGATATTATATTTAGAAATTGTAGTATTTATATTTGAATTAAGTTGATATATATAATAGATTTAAATATTTGAGATTAAGGATTTTATATATTGAATTAAAAGTTTATATTAAATATGTGAATCTTGAAGTACTAAATAAGAAGATTATGTAGGAGACAAGGATGTTATATATAATATATTCGAAGTTGTTTTAATAGGCCGCCATACTATTCGTTTACACTCGCTTAGAACTACATACGAAGGTGTTATGCTAGAATAGAAATTGTGTTCAGTAGGGTGAGCGACCTTAATTAAAGCAAGCTTTCAATATCGTACACTAGTAAGGATTCAGTCGACTAAGTCGGCAATACAAAAAAGAGTGTTTACCGCACTCGAAGGGAATACTTAAATCTTCTTCTACTTTCATCTATCTATTTTCAATCGCAATTCCAGGAATTTCAAGTAGATATCACAATGGGTTCCGAAAAAATCTATTCTTCTCCTGGCTTTTCAAACGATAGAGAGGGCTTTCATCTCCCTTCGCACAATCATGAGGCTGCGTCTTTACAACAAAAATATCTTGACGCGATACAAGGGGAATTTATCCCGAAGAAATTTAACGACCCCAGATTGACTTGTTCCATAATCCACGGGTTGCGCTACAATGAATCATTCGCCGAGTCTGAATCAATGAGGGAAATCTGTGCTAAGAGCACAACAAATCTTTGCCCGCGCTAGGAACGCACGCCTGATCATGAGCAACAAGATCCTACTTATGACTGATGTCGAAGAGAAGCCATATTGTATCTGGCATCCACATTTAGCGACTGTTGATACATATCGTGAGTTAGCTCAGAGATATCCCGATATGAAGTACCATGTTGGTCGAGCATGTGCTGTTGGCGGCTATATCGACTTGTAACGCGAACTAGATTTGCTCCCAGATATTTCCATTGTGGAAGAAGCATGGCATAATTTAGATGTTGCTGGTTCGAAAGAAACTTTTGACTTCATTGCTTGCCAGCCGAAGCGTTACGCCATCTTGGACGATTATACGCGCTCCTTGAATCTACAGGCGCCAAGGATAGTAATAGGCCTGAATGGTGATACAGCACTTCTATAATCATTGAATGTGACATTTGATGTTTGGAAAGAATGGGAGGAGGCGAGATCGCATTACTTGAATATTACGGAAGATCATGGTGTTAGCGAGACCTCTTCAGCTCAGGCCCACGGCCATCCTCTGGCCCCTGAGCACGTATCTTTGTTGTATAGTCCTCTTCCAATTCACCTCCCAACCACGAACAAAGATGCATTAATACTTCATGCTGCTTACGAGGGTAATATTGATCGATATGCGCGTCTCCGACGTCCTGTCATGATGAAGGGAGAGACTGAGGCCATAGTCCGTGGCACCTACCATAATACATCTTTTGCGCGGTGGTGTCATGGTCAGTTAGGGTCTGGATTCGTCAATAAGGGCGATTGCTGGGACATAAAAAGAGCCATCTTAGCCCGCTTCATCATGGTCAACGACTTGTCCCGTGTTGCTTCTACTACAGAAACACTGGACATGGACCAGTCGATGCTATTCATGATCTGGTGGCCACTGATTCCCCATGAGGCAACACTGCGTGAGTTAGCGCGCCGACGTCCCGATATGAGTCTGCAGGTTGCCATGGCGTATATAGTTGCAGATTATCATCGGTTGTGGAGTGAGCTTACACCAGAGCCGCACGCGCTGCTGTTGTACTAAGCGGCACAGCAAGAAGAAAATGGCGCCAACCTAAATAAGAACTTTTATGTTGAAGATCTAGAGCGTCGAGCCGCTGAGAAAGGTATAGACTTGCGATGGCCCGCTTGGGACTGTTCCAGTTTGTACGATTGTCTAACGCGTGACAAGGAGCCAACAACCATCTACCTACAGCCACACATCCAGATTTGGGAAGAAGTTCCGATAGATTGTAACACTGGCAGTATCCACCCTGGCAGGGCGCAGGCAAATATGGCGGAATGGGATTTATGCATTGCAGTGAGCGATGATCTTAGAGAACAGGCGAGAACGGAGAATGTCAGTGATAATCTAAATGAAAATTGGGGGTGGCCTTATTCATGCTGGGAGGCACAAGTTTCTCATAACTGGGTATAGTAGACAATGATTTTAGAAGAGAGTCGTGGGTTGTGGATGCCGTATTCAAACCGGGACGTTCTGTTTCCACTCGGAAGGATGATCGCTTCCTTGTGTTTTTAGTTTATGAAAATTCAAGTTTGCTAATACCTCCTTCGAAGCTAGATATAATATATCCGAGAAAGCCATCAGCCGCTGTCTTTCTAACAAATTATTGCTTTACTAACAATGTTTTAAATCTCAATTTCATTCCCTAAATATACTTAAACAGTGAATCGGATCCCACTTTCTAGAATATTTCAGTTTGTATTCTTTTCTTTTGGCGCAAGCAAAATATCGGAATATAAGTCTGAGTGTGAACGCTACTGATATAGATGGAGCAGATAAGCAGATACCAATGGTTATAGGAGTGCTAACCCTCAGAAAATCCGATGCTATATGAGTTTGAAGACAAAGAAATAGAACCAATATTAACATTTGAGACTTCGCTATTTGAGGTAGTGAAGCTCTGTATATGAGATTTGGAGAGCTAAGAAATTTATGATAATATCATTGACTAAGTTCTCAATTGCTTTGATGAAAGCCTGCTTACGGTTACTACTAGCTGCTCTACACTGAACCATAGGACTGTCAAGGAATCCAATTGATTGTTTCCAGTCGATTTTCCAAGTAACAGGCGGAAAATGGCGACCGCTATCAAGGTCTAAAAGTTTGTAAGGGGTTGGCCAAGCTTTCATCTGGCCTCGCTGAAGCAACTCTCACGAATGCTTGAGTATCCAGAATCCTTTTACTGAAAAATACAATACTTGACTGAGGAACAATGTGAAATTACATCATCATTTACCGACCAAGGGATCTTACAATCGAGCCTTTAGCCCACGATATTGGAACGGTAAGAGCTAGCTCATTCCTTGAATATAAGGGACTCACTTATCCTAGCTTTTCACCAAGTGAACCTCTTCCCAAACCTTCCTGTTTGTCTAGGAGGATAATTGCTCTTCGAAATCAAGTCGTGTACAAGATCCTCACCTTCACCACCTTTTTACCTCAACTTGCTTATATATATATACCATCTGCGTCCATTCGCCATTGATCCTAATGGAACGGGTTCACTATACATACTTTAGCACCATTTAGGCTCGCGTCGCTCGTTGCGAACCTAAATTATGCCCCCCCAGGCTTCAACTTTGTTGCTATCAAGGTCCTCCATCCGACCCACATTCCTGATACTGACCGCTTTGAGTTGATTTCGATTACGAGTGAATAAAAGCAATCAGCCAATTAATTTCAGACTCTATGATTAGCATTTCCATCAACTACATCGCGCTTATATACCCCCAAGTACCACTCTAATAAGCCTTGGACAAACAACATTTTGCAACAGTGTAGACATCCCAATTCCCCCCCCCTTTCGAAGACTGATACCAATTCAATCTACCAACTTCACAGGTCATGAAGTTCTCGAAATCTCAACGAGCTCGCCATCTGGAACGTTTTATTGGAGACTCGTTCCACAAAAATGTATCTTACACTAATAACATAGCTTGGCAAAGTGTGCTCATGGTATTACTGGGGGATTGTGATGTAAAATGATGCAAGGTAAGTTTTGACAGTAAGCCCTCATCATGTGTGGATTATTGGAAAGGAGTTGACCCCTCACTATTTTTTGATATAGGATTGTAGGAAGACTGCCTAGAGGACTTGTTTAAGCTGCTGGGTATGGTTTCAATATCTTTGACTTAGATGCATTTTCCACTCTTTTTACTGATCTCCGTAAAAACTAGATTTGATTGGCCATGAATTACACGCTAATACAAATTCCTTCTGGTAATGGCTTCAGGACTCAGGGAACGGGGTATTCTAGAAGACTTAAGGTTATAAATTAAATATAACTGACATTCCCTAAACGAAAGTAGAAAATAGAACTAGTACTTGAATGATAGTCTCGTCGCATATAGCATCTAATGGGATCAACAATGAAGTCCTGGTCGAAGGAATGAAGCTCAGATGGCGCTATTCATACAATGAAGATTTGGGTTAGTGATGAAAAGAGAGAAGTTGGTGCAGAAGATGAGATGATTGGAAGTATATATAATTCTACAGGTCCAACGAATAAAAGCTACACATCTCATGCTAGATCACCAGCAATGATTTTAAGTTTCAATCAAGCTAGCTCAGAAAATCCGGAAATTGTGATGAAACCCCCAAAGCAGAAACAATTATGACAAAAACTCTCAATTCGGTTATACAGAAAATCATCAAACAGGAGATTCAGAGGACTCACGTAAATACAATCCCAATAATTCCCTCCAAGATTATATCCACCCTCCTCTCTCTTCCAGATTCCGTCTCCTCTGTCCTCCTCCGAAAAGATACTGAAATCGAGTATTTCAGCTACCCAATCATCACTTTACAATTACGGATCGATGCTACTGACTGAACATTCCAAGGAATGCCACTCGTTCCCATTTCCGGTTTGTGTCTAACTTGATTGCAGCTCACTCGAGTTGATCCGGTATAAATAAAGACAAACTCAAGAAGTCTTACTATAAAGCAGCGCCCTTAACTCCTCAGCTTCACCTCTCTCGCCTTCCAAGTTCTACCTCTCTCATGAACACCATTCCAAGCTATACCTCCAGCCGAAACATATCTTAACTCTCTATATTCTCTTGTTTTTTTAGTGCAATATAGAGTTCATTCCAAACAGGCTATTTTGTTCAGTCTAACCCAGCTACTAAACAAGATACTTCCCCCAACGCTCATATTCCAAGATGTCATTGCCTATCGAAACAACTATTCATTCCATTCTCACGCCATCTCAAACGTCACAAGCGACATCAGAATCTCGCATCAAAATTCCCATCATTTCGTCGGATGTCTTTTGTCATATCTATATTGTATTTAGCCGTTCCCTGCACCCTTTCGCGATTATAATCCTGTAACCGCTTCTCTCTTTTTGCTTCGTCATTCTATATAAGGGATCATAAAAAATAAGTAACTGCTTAGCCACATCCTCATAACCTATGATTCTGTATTAATATTGTATATCCGAACAAAGTTTCTCAAGGGGATCGGCGATAGAAGTCCATCTCCACGTTCCGTCGTGCTTTTTCCTGAGGTTCTCTTTCCTAAAACGCATATTCAGCAGACCGGAGTCCTATTATGATCTTAAAATCGCATCAAAACAATCCCACGTATTCCATTCATCCCATTTCGTTCTGTTCTGTTTCACTGCCTGTGACGTAATCCCAAGACCCTGCAGAAGGTTTTAACTTTAAGCTTCAATTTAACATCAGATCGTCCGTGCTAATAAAACTATCATACCATACTATCCTGTACTATATTAGACTACTAGCTATAGACTAGGCAAATCCAAGAATACCCCCAAACATGATCAAATCATCCCGACTAAACCATACTATCCTCATCCTCTACATCACATCACATCATGTCACACTCAAATATCGGGGAAAACAATCCAAACAAAATTCTGCACTTTAAATCATGTATATCTCAAACTAGATACTTATCACCTGGCGTACTACTATCCTTCTATACATACCTGTAAGCTGACTCGGCGAAATTGTTGCATTTCTAACAAATGTTGCTTGATACCACTAGGAAGTCAGATGCCCCAACATTTGTGACAAGATAAGTAAAATTTCCATCAAACAGCCTTTCTAACAATCAGCTACTTGGTATATGGTTCAAGCTGAGGAGAGTGTAGTCCAATGTGTTGGACAAAACACGAAGTCACAAGGAAGCGCATTTACTTCCAACGAAAAATTATCAAGTAGTAAAATCGATGATTACTAGCAGCTCATTCTAATGTTTGGAAGAGATAGATACTAACAGACATGTTGAGATAACATTGATTGTTGTATTGGCATCTCAGCACGATAACCCTGTTGCTCAATGATATATGAACAATAAATGAATACAATTTCCAACCACCCAAACTGTAGTCCGATGCTCAAAGACTGTTCCCTCTGATTCAAATCGACTCATGAGATAGATAGGCTGGATTACTAATCCGAAATTAATTCAGATGTCGAAACCCGTTTGATTTTCGGATTATAATTCAAACTATTAAATCCTCTGTTTGTAAGCGATATACGAGTACTCAATTTCTAGTTACAACTACATGGTTTCAAAACAGGCTATACAGTAAATCATATCACTTCAAGAAGAAGACAAAAAGACCTGAATAGGTAATGATGCATCATATAATTTCTCTCTATACTTTTCCGCTCCGTTCCAGCAACCAACATTTGATCTAACAGATGTTTGCCCCCCAACCCCAACCAGTTTTTCCCATCCTCATATGTCTATCAAGCATCAAGACACCAAAAATAAGACAATCATTAACGTGGTAATAAAGCATGATACATAATCATATAATTACCCAATCCCAAACGCCTTTGTTCCCTATCCCTTGACCTTGTAGTATTTAACACAAGGTCTTGTAAGCTCTCTTCCACGCAGGCCACGAAGCCTTCTCAAGACGATCTTGTTCGATCAATGCAGGAGTATCAAGATCTCTCTTTCCTGTGTCCAAATCCATGTCCATTGACTTCATAAATGGAGTTTTATAATAGAGCTTGTAAGGAATGTAAAAGGCCAAGACAACTGGAGCCGCCAAATACGCGAGAAAGAAACTTTTCGCGATCTCGGTTGGAGACATCGTTGCATATCCAATTGGCCAAATAGCTGTCCAGAATTGTGCAATGAGTACTAGGCAATTAAGAGTGAATCCGATCCATGATCCAATAATTCCGACTTGGGATGTGAAGGCTAATTCATCAAGGGTGTGGCCTTGTGCTTTCCATGCAGCGCGGAATCGGATGTGTGCGAGACAAATGGATCCCCATGTGAAGAGGGAGGAAAGACCGGAAAGAGAGTAGAGCCAATTAAGAGCTGTGTTAGCGGTGGATGGCCCACCAGCTACGACATAGCAGAGAAGACCGATAACTGAAGCGAAAATGATCGAAAAGAGAGGACGTCCTTTGCGATCAATATAGGCAAGGAACTTTGGGGCTTGACCTTGTTCTGCAAGAGCTGCAAGAGTACGCGAGGAACCGTAGATTGAGGAGTTTCCGACTGAAAGAACAGAGATGAGAATGACAACGTTCATGATCGAAGGAAGAACGCCAATTCTAGCATTGTTGATAGCGATAACGAATGGGGAGGCCTTAGCATCAGTGGAGCTGGATCCCAAGAGTCGTCTGTCTCCGTATGGTACAAGAACACTGACTAAGGTCAAGGCAACCATGTAGAAGAGACAAATACGCCAGAAAACTTGCTTAATAGCAGTTGGAAGGGTTTTACGTGGGTTGGCCGTTTCAGCTGCTGCCAAACCGACAAGCTCAGTACCAGCGAAAGAAAATGCAGCTGTGACAAACACAGAGCAAAGACCCTTGAAACCATTGTGAAAGGCACCGGATACAATCGGCAAAGGGCTTCCATCAGCGTTCTGGTTTGCCGGATTGTCATAACCAGCATACGTGGATGGGACGGTATTGGGGTACCAATAACGAGCTCCGATGTATTCTCCGCCTCCAACTTGTCCTCCAGTGTTGAGAACAATACCAAGAATAATAAATCCAATGACTGCAGCGACCTTGATAATTGAGAAGACGAACTCGGCCTCTCCATAACCTTTGACACCAAAGAAGTTGATCGCAACGATAACCACGAAGAAAATCGTAACCCAAGCAGCCGCATTAGTTTTAGATGCACCAGGCCAATAATCTAAAGTAATCGAAGCAGCGACAATTTCCAGAGGTAAGACGACAAGCCATTGAATAGCATAATTCCATCCCATTGCGAATCCCCAAGCAGGGTCGAGGAATCGTGTAGAGTAAGCAGAGAATGAACCAGAGACAGGGAAAACGACAGCCATTTCTCCCAATGCATGGACAGTGCAGAACAACATTATGCCGATGATACCATATGCGATGATGAGGGAAGCTGGACCACCGCTTGACAAAGCAGCTCCAGATGTGACAAAGAGACCAGTACCTATTGGTAGCACCATTAGCATTTGCATTTATTGTTTTGAATCGATATCACAAAAAGGTTCCTTAACATACCAATGGAACCACCAATCGCAATCATCTGCAAATGACGAGGTTTCAATTCTCTAGCCAAACCAGAATTGGCCGTAGCTTCAGCAGCAGCTCTGTGATCGAATCCTGAGACGTGTGATTCGAGTCCATCGAGACCTCTTTGACTTGGTTTCGTTACTGCAGCATTAGGATCTCTCTTGAAACTTTCGACGAATCTTGTTGACCAAGGTGCCTTTGTATCTGCCATGTATGCCTCTCGACTGCCAGTATCACTGGTAGTGAGAGGGGGATGACCCTTTTCGGAATTATATTTTGGTTCCTCCATTGTATCGAAAGACGAGAGGTAATTGTGTCAAGTGCTATTTGCTGTTGATATCCGAAGGTATCAATAATTAATTATGATAGTAATTGCGAAAAGGAAGAAAAGAAGACTGCTCAACAACTTGAGTGCCCGACTCAAATAACCTTCTCAGGGTACTTTATATTATGGTTGGTAAAGAAAGGGAGGGGAGAGAAAAAGCAGTACAGAGGGAAATGTAGCTTCTATATCACCTTTTCTCGAGGGAACCCCAATCTAGTTGATCAGCATAGGTTATACCCAGAAGAGAAAGTATATTTACCAGGAAGATTTCCACATAAGATGCACATCCACTCGTAGTTTTCCCATGAATCCGCAATAACCACACTAAGACCTATCCCCCCCTCTAGCCGATCTCCAGACTGGCAGACATACCTATTTTGTCGGACCCAGTCAAAAAATTAGCCCACCCAAGTTTCTTAGCAACCAATACTAAGAAATTAGCTATCTCTCAAGTCCTTGAATTATTCAAGGATGGTGTTTTTAGCCTTTTATTTTATTTCCATTGCTTCTCTAAGCTCGCTCATTCTCTTGCTTCTTGACAGGTTATGGAATTTTTATGACACGATGTCATCTCTAAACACGACTAAGATCTACCTCCACATTTTGCCACGTCGAATCAAACTTGAACGAATTTCTAGGATCAAACCTTGCAGACTGCGAAAGGATTTAATTAATGCACGACGGTAAGGGCTTGGTTGGGATTATTGTGGGTATGGAGAAGAAGCCGCGTGAAATTCGGATATTAGTGCTAGAGATAAGAATGGCTGGATTTAAAATAAGTTGGACCGATTGGTTGACATGAGATAGATATATCATGTGATGAACCCAAAGTACATTATTTTCCGTGTGTAAGAGGACTCAAGGGTTAACAATCAAGGGTGAAAGGGATCACCAGCCTTGGAGTTGTTCATCAGTGGTTCACAGGCGGCTGATGGCTTTAAGAGGCGTTCTCCAAGGCGTTCTAGGAAGCCTCTTCGAGAGACGTTACATCCGATTTTGCCGGAAAGAATGAAGTATTTTATTGTTCGAAAAGCTTCGGTGCAGATAGAAAGGCTCACATCAAGCGTCATATGTGTATCATACCGTCTAAACAAGGTACCGTGATATCAGCAGACAAGACTGAGCATTTTCCGTTGGTTACACTTTGACGCAAAGCATTCGAGCTAATCTCGTGATCAATAGTTCGTACTTCATTCCAAGAATCCTCCTCTCCAAGCAAAATCCAACGGGCCAAGATCCATCGCGGCCTTCAATCCAGACTTTTTGGAAGACCGACTACCAATTATTTTCCCCAGGAACTCCACTTTTCACGTTCCAGCTACCACTTGAGAACTAGTATCTCGGACCCAGAAATACTAATTTTTGATAAGCTCTTGGTCTCTTGGGCATCTTCAAAAGCAGCCACCCTCTCTCCTCTGAACGGACCCGCCATTATCTATCAGTGGAGCTTCTTCGTCTCTTCCCCAACTCAAACCTCGTATCCACTCTCGAGCCACTTAACGGGCAAACGCTGATAACAGACTGGATCAACAATGCTCCCCACGTAGAATTCGGCGAGACCGTCCTACATTATTATGCCTATCTAATCTATCAAACTTTATCGATACAGCAGATACCAACCCGCACAGATATTTAAAGGAACAATTTTGTAAATATTAAACCTCATCGCCTAACAATCCCTAACAATGAACAATCGCATTGACATGGATATGGAACGACGTCGAGATTTGACACCACGCGCAATCTGTACCTTATTTTATAGTTTGAGATTTCTTCGAAGTTTTTCCCATGAGAATCAAACAATAAGGCTATACAATTTTATTGAAACCAATTCGATTTAATTAATGCTTTCCAGAATTGAGGATATGCTTTCATAATCTCTATCAAAGCTTCGAAAATCAAACCCCTTCATTTCTCGCTTCTGATTGGCGCTCAAATTTATTTATCAGTGTCCTAATCTCTCTTTAATTTCCACCCTTTAATAACACTACATAAAATCATTGGATGACTTGACGAATGCGCATTCCTAATACCATCTCATAAATTACCAGTCTATCGGTATTCTCACATTTCACATGTGTACTTCGTACATTTTCATACAACTTCACTAATAAGACACCGACGATGATCATGATATTAACAATTCGGTGACGAATCCGACGGATGATTTCCTCTGCATAACGCCTCAACCGTAATCTTCATACAGAGCCCATCACATTTTACAAAGAGCTGTTCCTGCCGTAGGTATGCAAGTCATAAAGAACTCAATGTACAAAGTATGATTACTTTCTAAATTACGCCTCACCCGAAGCCTCCCGAAACAACTGATAACGATTTCCGAGTATGGACGTTTCGTCGGGTGAAGGTGACGTATCCAACTGTTTGAAATCCCACGTCGGGAATCCTTACCTTTTTGCCTCTCTAATCAATTCGTGTCTCTAGCGGCCATAGACCCGGCCGACTAAAGTCATGAAATCCCTCCCTCTTCCAAATCACGAATCATACAATTCCCTAAACGCGCCCTCCATCTCCATTAACTTCCCAAATCGTCCACTCTCTACCACCTCTCCCTTCCCCAGCAAGACAATACGGTCAAAGTCCGCAATCGTATCCAATCGATGCGCAACAGCCACAATCGTACACCCTTCAAAAACCTCCCTAATAACCCTCTGCATCAATTTATCCGTTTCGCTATCCACACTGCTCGTCGCTTCGTCCAACACGATAATTCTTCCACCTCTTAAAATGGCTCGCGCTAGACAAAATAACTGCCGCTGACCGTGTGAGAAGAACTCCGTATCGAGTTGCGCGTCTAACCCTCCTTTAGAGGAGATGAGAGACCAGAGATGTACTTTCTCTAGCGCGGAGATGATTTGAAGGTCAGTGTGAACACCATACGGATCGGTATTTGTGCGGATAGTGCTGCGTAGGAAAAATGGATCCTGAGGAACAGCATTCAAGCGTGCGCGTACTATTTGTCGAGGGATTGTGCTGATGTCTATACCATCAATAAGGATTGAACTTCCGGGATGAAGTTCCAACATGCGAAAGAGCGCTGCGATGAGAGAACTTTTGCCACTTCCACTTCTACCACAAATTCCGATTCTCTCTCCAGGTTTTATAGAGAGGTTGAGATCATTAATGACCGGGATGTTGGTTGAGGTGTAGGACGCTTTTACATTCTTGAATTCGATGGCTCCGAATGCTGGCCAATTTTCTGGCACAGATTCGACTTCGGGTGGTAAGTTCTCGCTTACAGTTGTTGCTGCGAAAGTTTTGAGACGAGAGACTGCCCCAACGGCTGTCTCCATAAGGGCCCATTCCTTGATGATTAGAGTAAGTGATTGGTTGAAAGTCATTACGTTCAACAGAGCCAGACCAACATAGCCCGGACTAATGTCGGTGCGGAGTTTAACAATGAGCACCATGAGAATAACTGCAAGGGCTGTAACGAGAAGATCAAGGACAAGACCCAGCCACCGTTGAATACAGAATAGGAGGTAATAGGGCTTCTGAGATGTGTCTAAAAATGCAAGATTTTGCTCGCGAAACTTTTCGGTCCAACCGAACGCTCGGATGGTAGTTAGACCACTAAGGGTTTCGATAAAGTGGGAGTACAGAGGGGATTTTGCTTCGAGGTCTAAGAGACGCATTTGCCGAGATGTCCTGAGATAGAATTTTTGCAGCACTATTTTTGGTCAGCAATTATTAATGTAAGAAGAAGTGTGACGACGTGCCCCAAACTATTAGACCGATGACCGGAATAGTTGCCGCAAAATACCCCGCGGATAGAGACATTAAAATAGCTCCCATTAATGCTTGCACAGTGGACAATGAGAGATCAACCAATGCATAGGGAAGGTCTCCATCAATTATAGTCATGTCTTGACTGAATCTGAGTCTGAAGTTAGCAAGATTGCGATAATACAACCCAAGTACATACCTATTTGTAGTCGTCCCAGTATCCGTGGCGGTGAAGAAAGAAAGAGGTGCTCCCATCACAGAATCCAACAATCTCTGATGAAGGACTTTTGCACTTTTCGGCATCATATATAACATCAAATGGGAAATTCCTGCCACGAAACCAATCAAGGAAATAGCAGATAGCATTCCATATATTCCAAGCCAGTATGGGTTTGCCTTATTACCTTCAACAGCGATAGCTCGAGTCCAGTAAGTCAAAGCAATTTCCGGTAATTTCGATGCTGCTCCAAATATCAAGACAAGAAGGAAAAATATCCCGCTCGGCACCCATCCAATGGAGGCAAAATAATATTGGTATACTGAAGCATCACCAGTTTGTCGATTCAAATCTGCTACTTCATTCATGAGATCATCATTCTCGAGAGTTGCGAATGGACTTTGTTTCTGGGTTGTCGCCTTTGTATCAACTTCTCCAGAGTCAAGTTCCTCTGATCTATGCCGAGTATCTAAATTCTCCACATAGCCACCACTAGTTTTTAAATACTCAAAGGTACCCTGCTCGACGATCTGGCTGGATTGATCCAATGCGATGATGTAATCTGAATATGCTAATCTGTGAACGGCATGAGTGACAAGAATAATAGTGGTTCCCATTTCTCGGAAAAGTCCTTGTTTCCCAAAAAGTCTTTTGAAAACTTGCTCTTCTGTTTCTGGATCAAGCCCAGAAAATACGTCGTCAAGAATGATAAACTCATTTTTGGCGTGCACGGCTCTTGCAAGTGCGATTCTTTGCTTTTGACCGCCGCTCAGTGAGATACCTCCGCTTCCTACACGAGTAGCTATGATTTCGTCAGTGCGCTCGAATTTTCAAGTCTCGAGAGAACAGTAGAAAAGAAGTATGAGACCGCACTACTCTGTGAGAAGCACAAGCAAGACATTGAAAAGAGATAGAATGATATTGACAATGGAAAACTTACCATTTCCATTAGGCAAGACCGCGATGTCATCTTCCAAAGCGCAAGCCCGAACAACCTGATTATACCAAGGTGAGTCAAAGTTTGATGGACCTAAAATATTGTCTTGAATGGTCCCATTCTGAATCCATGGACTTTGTTCAACGTACGCCGTTCTAGCGGTCTTGGCATAGATGAAGCCCTTGGAAGAAGGAGTTTCACCAAGTAGTCCTTTGAGTAGAGTACTCTTTCCGCAGCCTACCGGACCAATGATGAAAAGTGACTGAGAGCATGGTAGAGTACAGCTGAAGTCTTTTATCACAGGAAGAGCGTCCTGACTCCAAGCAAAGCTAGCATTCTGGGCAATGATCATTGCTGAAGGATTTAGTACAGGTGACATGTCTTTCAGTTCGATTCCTTGGCTCAGATAGCTAGGGATATTTGATAATTGAGATCCTACCATTGGCAAACGGTGGTCTTTTCGTGCATCCGATAACATGAAACTTTGGATTCTTTCAAGACAAGCAACAGCAGAGTTGATTTGAGGTATTGTCCTCACCAGTGTATTCATTGGGTCTGCCAAGAGGGCAATGAGAGATAGCGATGTGTACGCTGTCGAGGTACTCAATGTACGACCGGTAACATTGGCTGAAATCACAAACACCGTGAACGTAACTAGCGGCGCTACGATGCCAGTGCTATTTGCTAGACCGTAAGTTAGATGGAGGCTTCAGGTGACTGATACAAAACACTATACCTAGGAAAACACGACCACAGAGAAGCCTTCTGAATAATTGAGAAAGGTATACTTCTTTCACGCGAAGAGATTGAACCATGGTGGTGAGAGAGTCGGTAAATCCTAACATTTTTGCAGCCTGTGTAGGTATTTAGTAATTTATGCACGAAGATCAGTAAGAGAGCTAACCTTCATAGACCCCAACATAGAAGTAGTTATGTCGATCCGCGTTTGGATACCTCTGATCCAAATCTTTTGTGCGTTGCCCATCCAATTTGCCATAAGAAGAATGCCTGCTGTGCACAACAAAGCAATGGAGAAAGGAGCCAAGAATGTCAAGCCGACTTGTCGATAAAGCAAATACATTGCGATGCCTAGTTCTATAGGAACAGCCCAAAGCTCGTGTATATTTGTGAAGCCTTCACAAATTGCGCCTGTAAAATTAAATAAGCCACGTCTATAATATTGGGAAAGGATCTCTTACTTGTGTCACTTGCCATCAAAGTGACGGCAACCGATTCATCAAGAGCAGTAATACTCAAATCAACTGTTTTTGCATATATTAAGCTTATCAATGAACCGCGTACAGCCGTGTTGAAACGATATGCTATGTGGTAATAGGCACCATTGAAAACAGCCAAGCCTAGGAAGACAAGGCCAAATGCTCCAGTCAAACTCCATCCTATACTATCAGGTTGATTTTCGTCGTTTGCGAAACCAACGGTTCTTTCTAGTAAGAAAGGTTGTGCATATTTGAAACCAATTGTGCAAAGTCGAGGTACAATCCCGAGAGCAAATGCTCCACGTGTGGCTTTCAAGGTTGACCAAAGCAAAGAATAAGATCCGGTTTGATTGCTTGCATCCCATGTGCTCCTTGCTCGGGAGTACAAGTAATGTGAGCTCATCTCCTCACCAATGGGATACAAGTCTTCGTTTTTAATAACCCGTTGGAAACCGGTGGTCATGAGTGTATTCAACCACCAAAAGCAGCTGCGGCTATAAATACCACTAGTAGTCTCAGGTGATGTGTTTCGATATCTGTCAAGTAGGATGTGACGCTTTTCCACCGCTTCGACGATGATGACCATAATCTTGACGCCAAGAGCACTGGTAAATACTGCAGCAGTTGGATTGTTTGCATGAACTAACCAAAGTGACCTTGCCCTCGCCATATCGAAAGGCAACGTAAGCAAAAGCCATACATTGATGAGAGCAGATGGCCTGACAGAGTGGATATGCTCAATATGTGATAAAGCAAATAAGCCGAGGGCATTTACAAGTAGAAGAGCTGCAGCAGGTATTGTTGTACGTGTCTTCAATGTTGACGTTGTGGCATTCATAACTAAATAAGCAGTTTGCATGATTGTGAAGACTCCTAAGAACAGCTATGGTAACATTAGCCTCCATTTTATCTCGCTTGAATAATCCTACCAATTTATTGCTATGCAAAAGGCTAGAATTAACTTTTCGAGGCTGACCACGAAGCATCCATATTCGAATTGGCAGTAAGAGAAGTAAGATGACTGATGGTACAAGTGACAGGATTACATCTTCGAATAGTGGAGTAAAGTCAAATCCCACGGACTTGGCTGGACCGAAGTCATTAATAGATATATCAATACTGGAAGTGTTACTTGACATGATTTCCAGTTCGTGATTAATATTTCAAAGGACAAAACTTAGGTGGACAAAAAGAGGGGGACATATATAAACAACTGCTTATCGAGAGGCCCTTGCAAATGCAAAGCTATCCATGGATCTCATGGTACCCATGCCATGGTGTGTCATCAGCTATGATGGGAGAACAATAAGTAGGCCATATTCCAATTCCGTGATTTAGAGTCATCTCAGCCATGAAGATTCGCTATGACAGCAGATGAATTTCTCACGTTATTCCGACTGAAATTGTTGCCTAGGAAGAATCAATGTACAGATGCACGCCAAGATAGTGGTCGTATATTATCATTCTCCTATTCGATCTCGCAAACCCGAATATCACATCGTCGTCACTCAACGCGTGTTGATCGCTAAGAGCCGCGCAATCACACCGAGAGCGCCTCAGTATTTCGAGGACTTGTACAACCGAAGAATCAGGCTTGACAATGGACGATGCGTACCAGGTAAGCATTGCATGGACTCTTGAATGTAATGAGAACTCTGATATTCTCATGTAGGTAAACAGCAACGTCTGTGAGAGAAAAGAACGATGCGTTTCCCCATCTCGCCATCAAAAATCAATGACACTACTGCTCCATATGGAAAAAGAGACGAGGGTTAGTGTTGCACCGCCTGAACTTCGGAAATTCAAATAGTAAAGTTAAGCTTAGCTAGCTACCCCGCCATTTCACCCCCACACCTCACGATAACCGTATCATATCAACAACAACATCATCATCATCATCATTCTTCTAGAACCTCACAACAAACACATTCAAGAACCTACAACCACAACCAGCCAGAACAATATGGGCAGTACTCGAGAAGCCAGCCACGCCGGCTCGTGGTACACATCGAATCCGAGCAAACTATCTTCGGAACTCGATAACTGGCTGTCCCAAGTCCCCTCCACTATTTCCGACACAAATCTACCCGTTCCAGGTGCTCGAGTCATCATTGCACCGTTAGCTACCCCTCTCCCAGCTCGTCAAAACACTCTAACAAATTAAAGCCACGCAGGATATTCCTATTCCGGGCCCGCCGCCGCCTGGGCCTACGCAACCCTCGATCTCTCCACCGCAAAACGAATCTTTCTCCTCGGGCCCTCTCACGCTTGGTACCTCACCGAATGTGCACTATCCAAACACTCCAAATACGCTACTCCCTTGGGCGATCTAACCATCGACACGGCTCTGGTCCAAGAACTCTCCGCGACAGGGGAATTCAAAAAAATGTCCACCGACCAAGACGAAACCGAGCACTCCCTAGAAATGCATCTCCCCTACATCTACAAACTTCTTTCCCTCAACTTTCCCTCCCCCTCAGGCTTCCCCCCTCTAATCCCCATCCTCGTCGGCAACACCAACCCCAGCACCGAGCGAAAATTCGGCTCCATTCTCGCTCCCTACCTCTCCGACCCCTCAAACGTCTTCATCATCTCCTCCGATTTCTGCCACTGGGGTCCTCGCTTCCAATACACATACTATCTCCCCGCGAGTCCATCCGCCGAAGCCCGCGATAAATCCGGCGGGTACTCGCTTTCGCGCCGGGATAAAGCACCGACGCAACCGCCGATTCACGAGAGTATAGGACGTCTAGATCAACTATCCATGGATGCTATATCCGGGGGCGTGCATCAGGAGTTTCTAGATAATTTAGAAGAGACAGGGAATACGGTATGCGGGAGACATCCGATCGGAGTGATAATGGCTGCGATTGAGAAAGTGAAGGAGGATAAGAATTTGGATGGGGAAAAGGGGAAATTCAAATTCGTGAGGTATGAACGGAGTAATGAAGTTACGAGGGTAGATGATGGGTCGGTGAGTTATGCTAGTGCGTATGCTGTGCTGTAAATGTGGGTTTGTATTCTAGATTCGATGGTGAGCGATGATGTGATGATATGATGATTTCCTGGTGCTAAGATGGGTCAAATGGTCGGCGCATAATCTGAGGAATGGAGTTTACGGAGATTTGCATTCTTAGACTCTTTCCAAATCGATTTCTCTTGCATACCAAACAAAGAATCTCCTTAGATCGAAGAAAAAATAATTGATTAATCTCTAGCTCCAAGTCCATCCACAAGTAGCAATGTCAAAATGTGTTTAATCAGGTATCTCGGTATTCTATCTAGGTTATTGATCTTCTAGGACGGACTTCTAATGCTATCTATTCAGCTTTCGCAGGGCTCTCTTTTTTCCTGGTTATCATTTTCCCTCTCTTCCCCCCTTCCTTTAACGATACAGTTTTTCCACAATCTACACACGCTCTTAATCCATGGCAATCAATCCCACACACCCCACCTCTCTCATTCCAACCTGATTTCCTAAAGTTCCCATTTCCTCCCCCAAACTAACATTTCTCTAATCCCTCTCGTCAAACTCTTTCCCAGTCTCGCCAACCCAATCCAAACCCTATCGCCCTTCTGATAAAGCTGATCAAGTTCCATAACTCTTCCCTCGTCCATTGCCCAAACGTTCTTCCCCTTGACCCATGTCCCCAACACCTTCAAACTTCTCAGTCCCTCCATCCCTTCCCCCTCCATCCCCGTCACATCCCTATCAATCACAATCCAATCCGCCCACTTCCCGATCTCAATAGCTCCCGTTTTATTTTCCAATTTCCAGCCCCAAGCCGCGTTGCGCGTGAAACCATGAATCGCCTGTTCAATACTGAGACTCTCTTCCGGATACCAACCTTCTTTTCCTGAGGGTGAAGTCCCAGTTTTAGGATTGAGCCGAGTTACTGCGGCATAGATACCATGAAAAGGGTTCGGTGGTTCAACTGGGAAATCAGAGCCAAGAACTGGACCGGGATATGACGATGTGCTGTTATGAACAGTAGGGAAGAATGATCGCATGCGATACGCGAAATTGGAAAGTCGTTCCTCGCCGAGACGAGATGATGCATAGACCATGTCAGATGTGGCGTGTGTTGGCTGAATGCTGGGAAGAATACCCATATTTGCAATGCGTATTTGGTCGTCGGGATGCTGCAAAGTTCGTTAGAAAGGCATTGGCTGTTGATCTGGGACGTACTATAATTTGAGCATGCTCAATTCTTAGCCTCTTTTCTTGGTTGCAACCATTGCAATCAGATCCTAGAACAGCTTCGAATGCATTGATAGCAGCTCTATTGGCTCGATCACCGATAGCATGAATATTGATTTGGTAGTCCCATTCGTAAAACTCAACGAATCAGTCAGTCTCATGCACAGAAGAGAAGGGAAGTAGTAAAATACCTTCTTAACAACTTCCGTTAATTCAGTCTCGTTGATCAACATCATTCCACTAGTCTCAGGCTTATCCGAATATGGTTCCAACAATGCCGCACCCCAAGAGCCTAATGCTCCATCCGCAAAGAGTTTAATTCCCCCAAACAATAGCATATCACCTCCACCAGATCCATCTCTTATCACTTTCACCGTTCGTAACTCTTGATGACAAAAAGTATTTCTCTCGTCACACTCAGCCATAACACGGATTCTAACAGTCAATTCATCTCTCCTGGCCAACTCTTGCAAGATTTTCACATCTTCCATGCGCATGCCAGCGTCACTCATAGCCGTGATACCTACTTTGTTCAACTCCTCCATTGCGGTTTTAAGCCACCGTACCTTCTGAGGCGCATCTGGCTTAGGTGCAAGGGGATAGATGTAGTTATCCATTGCATTATCGCAAAAGACACCTGGTCCAGGAATCGTAACAATTTCTCCACCTGGAGGCGATTCAGGTAGAGGATCCGGAAGAAGAGAGAGGACCTTTTCTGAGGTCCAAACACAATGTATATCAACTCTGTCGAGCATGATATACAAATCTTTCAGTTCCGGGTCTTCAGCAAGTTGTTTCTAGAAATTCTATCAGCAGAGTCCTTTATCAGATAGAAGAATGAGAAGATAAATTCATACCGCTGTCGGCATCACACCTCCAAAATGAGCTTGATCCCATCCCACTCCCCTGATCCACTTCTCCCTCCCTCCATAACCTTCTCCCTCGTGTCTTCCCAACCACTCCTTGATCCTGCTCTTCACATCCTCCACACTTTCCGCGTCATACAAGCTCACACTCTCGAGCATTTCTCCATACTGCAAAATATGCCCATGCGATTCAATAATCCCAGGCAACACATATCCATTCAACCAAACAATTTTTTCTCCTTCCTCTGCATTTGGTACTCTCTCAAGGATTTCAGTTATCACATCGATCCTGACACGGAAACATTTCGGATTAGGAATACTAGGAGAAAGAGTAGTGATGGTATATGGTTCGCGGACGCAGTAAAGGGTTGAAGAGGTCCATGTATCGTAGAGAGAATGTAGATTGGCGGTGATAAAGAGTATGAGATATCCTACGAAGAAGAAAGCGAGAGGATGCATTATATTCTGTTTGTCCTATCCTACTTGGCAGAATACAAAACTGCTGGTGAGAAGGTGGAAGTGAGAGTGGTTTTATATCACCATACATGCATGCGTTTTAACTTTGGAAAGAGATAAGGAATGTTTCATTCGACGTTGTGTGATGAAGGTATTATGTTGTATTACATTGAATCCAATTGGATTGGATTGGATTGGATTAGGCTGCAACAATTGATTGCAGATCGTCGTTTTTCGCTCTTTCCTGTATGGATTGGGTGACAACATGGTTACAGATATAAGTTTGCGACTAAGGAAGAAGTTGCGAATTCAAAGGTGGGCGTGGCATGTGATTATCTTCTACCAGACGGCAAGAGATTCAATCATTTTGTGATTTCCAACCTCACAATAAGATTCTGCCAACCAATTCATCACTGCGCTCTTTTCCTTCCATAAATAGGAGTTTTCGAAGAGAATGATAGACTCAAAATGAAGTTTACAGAGTTGAGTTGTGAACAGAAAACTCCCGGTGAGGCTTTGATTCTTGTTCAATCCCACCACGTCGAGAAAAGAATTCTTCTTCCACAAGTATTTGTACCAATTTGAAAATTTAGCCACCAAAGAACCATGTATGAAATCTACGATGTGTTCGATTATAATCTATGCAACGCCATAAAGTCATCGCCATGCCCAATGACTTTTATCTACAATGAACTGCCCAAAAACGCCGAGCTAATATAATGCATAATTCCGCCCATAAATGGTGAATATTCACCGCTCATGCATCTCTCATCATCATAATCCTCCAACCCTCCCATAAATCAAAATCTATGATCTCAAAAACGTCTTGAATACTTGTGAATCTGTACAATCCGTCCAAGGATATCCGATTTCCCTCAAAAATCTCTCCAAATCCTTGACTTCGTCATCCGGACACAGGATACCCGTCAGAATCTTTCCGATATCACTTCCTGCGTTACGGTATTGGAAAAGACTGATGTTGAATCTCGGTCTCAAGGTAGTGAGGAATTTCTCTAGCGCACCTGGTCTTTCAGGGAAGTTGAACATGTAGAGTCGTTCGTTTGGTACTCCTGAGCGACCACCCACTAGGTAGCGAATATGGGATTTGGCAAGTTCGTCGCCGGAGAGATCAGTAGGTGACATGCCACTGGATGAGATACGATTAAGGAGAAATTGAAGCTCTTCGTCTCTTTGTGATGCAGGAGAGGTGAGAGAAATACCGATGAGTACATTTGCTACTTCATCCGTGGCGTATCGGTAAGAAAATTCGGTGACGGCATGTGGCATGACGGCTTTGATGAGTTCAGAAAAAGCACCGGGAACTTCAGGAATGCTGACACTAAGAAGAGCTTCTTTACGTTCTCCAAGAGCTGCACGCTCGGCAACGAATCTAAGACGATCGAAATTCATGTTTGCTCCAGAAGCAATAGCCACAAGATTTCGAGAAGTATCAGGAGATGGGTTGGCCGCAACATATTTCTTGAGTCCTGCTAATGCAAGAGCTCCAGCTGGTTCGACAATGGATCTTGTGTCTTCGAAAACGTCCTTGATAGCTGCGCATGTCTCGTCCGTAGTGACTTGAATAACATCATCAATGACGTCTTGACATATTCTGAATGTTTCCTCTCCCACATTCTTTACAGCCGCTCCGTCGGCGAATAAGCCCACTTCCCTCAACGTCACCCTCTTTCCAGCTGCCAAAGATTGTACCATAGCATTTGCATCATAAGTCTCCACTCCAATGATTTTCACATGGGGAGCAATACGCTTGACGTAGACACCAATCCCCGCAATCAACCCACCACCACCCACGCAACAGAAAATAGCCTCCAGCTTATGAATATTCGTTTGTCTGAGAAGTTCCATCCCAATCGTACCTTGACCCGCAATAACATATGGATCATCAAACGGCGGAATATTCGTCAATCCATGTAATTTCTCCAGTCTTCCACACTCCTCCTTCGCAGCATCGAAATCCTGCCCATGCAATACTACTGATCCTCCCAATCGCGTTACATTGAGATGTTTGATGCTAGGTGTTCCTTCGGGCATAACAATCGTGGCAGGCATTTTGAGTTTGCGCGCCGAATACGCAACGCCCTGTGCATGATTTCCCGCCGAACATGCAACCACACCTTTCCAACTTACTTTAGGGTCTAAATGTGCCATTTTATTATATGCGCCTCTCAATTTGAAGCTGAAAACCGGTTGCAGGTCTTCGCGTTTCAGTAAAACATTGCATTCTAATCGATTGCTGAGGTTGACAGCTGGAGTGAGCGGGGTCTCATTGACGGCTTCATAGACTCGAGAAGTGAGGATTAATCGTAGATACTAATCAATTGATCAGTTACAGCTCTTAGAATATAATTGGGCATACTCACATCAGGATATCCGTTTGGCAGAATAAATTCCTGCGGGACAATGCTGCTAACGTTTGATTTTGTACTTTCTGATGGCGGTGATGGATTTGCTGAATATTCCGTCAAAGAAAAGGAAGTCAGACTGGGAGTTCGTGGGTGATTTGGAGTTTTCTCTCCATTTGTTACTGTTCCGTTCTCCATGTCTGGAAATTATGTATTGATTTCCAATTGAGTATATTTTCTTGGTGTTGTTGAGAATCGAGTCATAAAGTTTGAATATTGTTTCATTTGCTGGATTCCTACCTTTCGATATCGGAGCTGATACTCTCCAATTATTTTTGGTAGGGATGCGTTAAATTCCGATGATATCACGACCTAAGTAAGGTATGTATGGTGTTGCATTGTGATTCGATGCATTTGGAGGGGCAAAGCTTTTGATAAAGCTTTGGAACATCAATAACTTCACAGATTCACCATCTATAAAATACTTTGGTGTCGCAGAGAAGTATTAATCAATAAATATGTCGAACAATACTCCACTGCCGTCGTCTTTCGATGGCGATACGTATGTGCCATTTTTCTAGAAAGCTTTTGTTTACTCATTCATAGCTAATGGCCTGATAGTGATTTCTATGAAGAGAATCGCTGGCAGAAACTAACTCGCCGTCTCAAAGAAGAGCCTCTCATTCCTCTGGGTACATCATCTCTCTTCCTCCCGCTTCCTCTCGATGTTCATATACTAATCAATTCCCCTTCCAGGTTGTATCCTCACCTCCCTCGCTCTCGTCGGCGCAACCCGCTCCATCCGAGCCGGTGACCACAACCGCACTCAACGCATGTTCCGCGCACGTATCTACGCGCAAGGTTTCACCCTATTAGCTATGGTCGCCGGATCTATGTACTGGGATTCCGACCGTAAGAAGCGCAAGGAATTCGAGGGAGTATTGGCGGAACAAAAAGCTAAAGAGAAGAATGAGGCTTGGATTAGAGAATTGGAGGCCAGAGATGAGGAGGAGAAGGAGATGAGGAGGGCGAGAGATGAAAGGAGGAGAAGAGCGGAGGGAAGACCAGCGTCAAAGGCTGTGGTGACGGATGCGCCAGTCGAGGAAGGGGAGAAGACGAAGGGGCGAGTCATGGACCAGATGAACGGTTTGGTATGGGGAAAGAAATGAGGGATCTAGTAATTGCGGACTAAAAGGGATGTATATGGGAAGTATAGCATTGAGGTTTGGTGTTTGGTATGGTTATCGGATATGTATAACTTATGGGTTACGGAAATTTTCAAACTCCATTCATTAATCGATTTCTTTTAGCATGGTCATGGGTTATTAATATGTAGAATTGCAATGTTCTTTCTTGTATCCAAAGTATCTGGAATACAGGCTTATTGTTTGATTTGAATGAAGTTTCCCAATCACGCAAGAACATATCCCTCTAATTGTGTAAATGTCCACGCCGTACATGCTTCAAATATCCCGATCCATTCCTACTCAATGCTTTCCAAAACTCCGAGCTCGACCCATCAATTCATAGAACCACCACTCCTATTCCCTCCAATTAGTCCCGCCATTTCCAACAACGCCCTATCTGCTTCAATATCACCAGTTCCTAGATTAATCTTTCTCCTTGCCTCCGCTTCTCTTTCTTCCCAAGCCCACATCTCCTTTTGTTTTTGAGCTTCAGCATCACCTCCGCAACCCCAGACTTCTAGACTTTCGATTTCAAACCTGTCTTGAAAATCTATACGCCTAGTTTCACTGTTGTGGAATGCTCCTCCTCCAGACGAATAGTTGTGTGTAAAAACACCAAATTCAAAGGAGGAATCTAGATACAATGATACAGCGCCGAGATTCACATGAGTAGATAGTCCGGCCGTCTGTTTCGTTTTGGGATGCGGACATCCAAAGGATAAACATGGATGGGCTGATGGAGGTTTAGAGAATGCCACATAATCCCTATTAATTACCGAAGCGTGAAAGACTTCATGAACAGGTTCGAGCTGGAAAAGTAATGTGTCGGTGTCTCCGAAACACTCTTTGTGAGTTTGTCTCCAAGGTTGTGAGAGATAGACTCCAAAGACGACCCTGGATGATTTACCACTATTAGGATATCTTTTGGGCGATAATGTATCTGCAAAATTCCTTTCCTGTCCACTAGTAGGAGAATCTTCAATTCTGTTCCCGGCGACCAAAAGGATAGTTGGTGCGCGCCAGTTGAATACTCTTGTCTCAAAAGAACCCATAGAGAATCCAGCATCGCCACCGGAATAGAGTAGTCGAAGACGTCGGAAGAGAGAATCCCCTGGAAGGAAGAAGGAAAGTTGCGACAAAACATTGAGATCCAGTATTTCACCTATTTGTGGAAGCAGAGGCTGATCTATTTCAACATCCAATGGTATTGGAGGCGGTGCTTCTGAAGAATCTTTTCGTTTTGTGAAGTCAATGTTCTTGGAGAACAAAAAGTGTTCGAACAGAGCATTGAATCCATTAAATACAAAAGGCAACGAAATGGGTATCACAGTGTTGAATTGATGTATTTTAACGCCAGGGAATTTTTCCACATTTACAAAAGCTGCAAGAATGTTGTCCGCTGTTCTTCGAAGACTTTCTAATTGTGATCTGGCGAGTCTTTCGGTATGGTGAGCTAAACTCTCTTGAATTCCCAATGGCGCTACCAACAAGAGTAGCATAATTAATTTTTTAAGGTTATCAGATGGAATCGTAGCTTGAGCTATAGGCGGATCTCCGTGACGAAATACTTCAATGGCATCTAGCGACTCAAGTGCAGCCAAAGCAAGATCATCATCTTCCTCTTCATCGTCATCATTCACAGCTTCATCGATAGCGAATCCTGCGGCATGTTTTTTGACAGCACTCTCTCCTTCTTCTAGCGGAGATGTTGTGTCCACCTTGTCTTCTTCTTTTTCAATTCCCGCGCGAGATTCCCTTCTATCGTATACCGCCAGACTTCGAAATAGTAGCTTTGTCCGATCCCTATTGCCCTTCTTCAATACCCTCTGATATCTTTCCGTCATAATCACTACTACCATAATCATCTGTTCAAATCCCAAGACTGCCGGCGCATCCTGGCCAAATGGAAACGCACCAAGGTAGGATACCATCTGGAATATAATTGGGGAAGCGCCGAGTATATCCGGAATCTCCAGGAATCGTGCGATGGTGTCTTCTTTAAGATATGCGACTCCATCTTGATGATCTGCGAGACTCTTGAAAACATCCTGGAAGGAGAACAATTCGATGGGGGTAAAGCAACGTTTTGCGAATCTCCGAGCCTTGAATAGCAATTACTATAAGTTCTCCATAGGAAGTGGTTGGAGATTCAAGAGGGGAGCTTCCATGAATCGTAAACTTACCAGTTCATGACTCAGCTGCTGTGTAGTAACATGTTTATCACTGGTACCAGACTGAGATTGTCCCATCTTTACTTCGGGTTTAGATACATCGCATCAATTTGTATGACGAATTTATGTTGAACAATAACAATAAGATGCCCACGAAGAGACAGACGATGACGGAGTGCTTACATAATCTGTGTTCCATTCTATTAGCGGCGAAACGACCTTCATTTCTAACCTACTGGTTATGTTTAAGCGCTCACCGGGAGCTTACCAAGGAGCATTATCATAAAAACATCTACTGAGCTATTTCGATATTCTCCTGGCTCACAGAATAAATCAACTGTCTCACGTTCATCTACTAATTTTTTGAGAATTCCTGTGACAGATGCAATACATGCTGGATAATAAAGTAATGGTCTCAAAATTACGTTGCTCCATCGAGTCTTGGTCATGAAAAGGCGAATCTTGACTAAACTTCTCAAGGGATGGCCTAATTTGGCTATTGCAGATATCCAAGATAGCCAGGTCGATTGATATATTCGCCTCCTAGCATTGTATCGCAGGGGTTCGATTGATACTTGCTATCAATACCAGAACAATTCCTCGTTATGATTACGCGGCCTTTTTGCATATACAATGGCTCTGGCTACGATGACCTCGTGCTTCCCAATAACAATGAGGGGCACGTTCTAACGGACAGGAAACCTACTTTGTTAGATGAAGTGCAATCGAGTTGAGATTTTGGGTACCTGAATTGGCGACAACAATTGTTATGTACATATCGTCGAGGCGGTTTGATTTGATCATTGCTGATTGTTGATTGCTTGATACCGGAAGGTTCTTGATCGCCATCTATCGCAAATATCTTGACCGCACTCCCTTCACTAATACAGCTTGATTCTTCCGAACATTTCGAGTACCAGGCTGATCGCAGTGGCATGGCTGAGTTGTCGGTAACAACGATTGGAATGAGGCGTCTGCAAGGTTTCGGTTGGCATTCCTTGGTGTCCAGCTGAGCTTAAAGTGAGTTTCAACGAAAACCTCAAGTCTAACATGCAATCAGGTTGTTGTCCTATTAATCCTACTGTTGGTACATTGATATCTTCTTGAAAAGATGGCGTTTTATCAGTACACTCCTATAAATTCTCAGGAACTTCAAATTCGAGTGTTACACATCCTCCCAAAGAGTCACACAGATCTGACAACGTCGGATGAGCTTTCCAAGCAACTTGATACAGGTAAGTGGGAAGATTATCACATCAATGCATATCGTAGTAACTGACGTCACCACAGTTTCTTGCACGCTGCACGTAGTCTCTTTGAGAGAAGCCCCAGACTATCATGCTTTGTCTTACTGCTGGGGGGACCCTGATCTTCCTCGAGCACGAATCTTGCTCGATGAGACAGAAGTTGAAGTTACCATCAGTTTGGAACAAGCTTTGAAGACATTTCGGCATGCGACAGAACCGATGGTTCTCTGGGCAGATGCAATATGTATCAACCAGAATGATCCGGAAGAGAAGGCAGAACAGATCAAACTGATGAGAGATATCTACAGTTGTGCCAATATCGTGGATATTTTTCTAGGAGAAGGAACTCCTAGAACTGACGAGGCCATGGACGTGGCTCTGACTATAGGACAAGCTGCGTATGATATAGGGATTTTTTCTGTTACAGTGGATAGCATGAGAGATTGTGAATTTTATGTTCGCGAAGATCAAGAAGGATATGGATTCAATCGTCCGAAAATAGACGATCCGCTTGCTGTTGTGAAACGCTCGCTGTACCAGCTTGCTATTGATATTGGCCTTGACTTCCCATTTCTCGGTTGGCATGAAATAGGGAGTCGAGATTATTGGAACCGGCTTTGGATCATGCAGGAATTTTGCCTTGGCAGAGAGCTTATGATAACATGTGGTCAAAAGACTATGCCATTTCATCCCTGGTTCGAAGCAGCTTGGATTTTCTTTGCCATGCAATCGGCAATGATCCTTCACACATACGGCCTCCAAAGAACAGCTAACGATCCCATCGTATCCCCAATTCTTCAAGAGATTGCAAGATGTCTCAGTACTGCTCCTATAAGTCTGAACCGACTTCTGGGGACTCGAAAACATCATCGCAAAACCGGTGGATCTCCTCTGGTCAAACTGTTAGAAAGAGGCTGTATCCAGGCCTCGAGAGATTTAGTCAGAAAGGCGAGATATCCTCGAGATAGAATCTATGGATTGCTAGGAATGGCTTCCGATGCTCAATCTTTAAACATCCAACCCATATATACCAACATCGATTCGGATGAAGAGACAGTACAGATATTCACATCTGTTTCTCGAATTTTTTTGGAACAGAACAATGGGGATTTATTAGCATGGAATCAACAGCCCAAAACATTGAAAGGCTTTCCTAGTTGGGTTCCGGATTTCTCAAACACACTGCTAGAACCCTCTTGTGAGGCCAAGAAAGCGGCTCTCTTTTCTGCTTCGGGCCAATCAGAACTTTCGCTTTTCTCTGAATTGGAAGATAGTGATCCAAGGATCATTGGACTAAGAGGTGTCAGAGTCGATACTGTTATGGCGATTGGAAGCTTGTTCACTGTCGACAACAGACAAGGTATCATATCTCGTACTACCGACGAATACCTAGCAATTCACGCCAATATCATGCGATACTTTGATGAAATAACACATTTCTGTGAGCAAGCTCAGACTCTAGATGTAAAAGATGCTGCATCCCCGCTATCGCAGGACGAAATGAAATGGTTCGGAGCCAATTGGCGCATTCCCTGCGCAGACCAGACAGACTCCTTCACATTCCGCACTCGCGCTTCTCATACCTCTTTAATGGGCTACAACGATCTTCGACGTAGTATAGAACTCTATTCCGATAATGCGAGAAGTATTACGGATAATCATTTAAGCGAAGAAGAATTTGATGCAAATACTGAGGAACATATAAGGTGTGTTCAGACGGCTGCATATGCTGCGTACAAAAATGCAATGAGTTATCAGCAGAATCGAAGACCGTTTATATCAGAACATGGATATGTAGGTCTTGTGCCTGGACATTCATTGCCCGGGGATGTTATAGTCATTATCTTTGGAACGGTCCAACCTTTTGTGTTAAGGAGTGTTGGAGAAGATAGATGGGAGTTAATTGGAGAAGCTTATGTTCATGTGATTATGGATGGAGAAATCATGAGGGGTGATCTCCAGAAGGAAGACTTTGTGTTGACATGATCGGGAATTGTACCAAGGGGTTCCTTGAATGAGGTCGTTGCTATTTGATATCGTTTATGCGTGCCGCGTTTACAAACCTACGTATAGGATTGTATGATTTCCGACCAAGTTGGAGACTGTTTGTGATGTTTTCATACTGCAAATGAGGAAAAGATCCAGAATGTGAAAGCGGGATCAAAGATAACACAACAAATCAAGAAAACTCACATAGAGGAAAAGATCACCAATATCTCCCTCCTGCCACCCATTTTCTTCCCATCGTTTCACGCTTACTGATACGCTCGTGGTATTCCCGACCAAGATCCAACATCCCATCTTTACACGTTTTGTTAACGCAATCTCGTCCCATTACTCCAGCATCCCACCCTTTCGTTATCCTTCTCAAGATAGGGACTTGCCGTTTCATTGACGATCATAGTTGAAGGATTCATCCAGCAATTGGATGATGCATAGTCACCGCCCTTATGGTGCTGACTCTCCATGCGCACAATGCTTGTTCCAATAACACTCAATAGGGTTGATTAAACTTTGGATACCCCTGAAGGAAGGAATGCCGTCAAAACCTCGCAGAAATAGGTATAGCAAAGTTGGGAAGAGTGTTCACTCGGTAGGCGAGTCCTTCTATATACAGAGCGATGGCCATGGTATACCTACAAGCCACCACCTCCCAGCGCAGGGAACCGGGTTAGAATTGTGCAGATAAGGGGCACACCGTTGTTCGGACCCTACATCGCCACTCTCGACCCGGTACTAATAGATTTCGGGATGCCGGGTCTCACGGGTGAAACGGCCATTAGGGATGTGGATACATGGAACTCAATGGTTTGATATTTTGGGACCCGCTTGAATGGCTCGGGAGTTGGGGGTAGTGCAGGGAGTGGAAATTGAACCGTGATTTTGTCGTTGGGGAGAAGTCGAGGACGATGGATTTGGATGAACGAAGTACAAGTTTGTTCTGGTGAAACAATGTCGGATCCACTCTGAAATTACGGTAAATGGGCTAGGGATGAGGGAGTGAGGTAGTTTTTTTGATCGTAATTAACAGAACTGTTTGCCTGTTCATCTTTTTGATGCAGATGTGTAAATCGAAACCTGACTTCACTCGTCTTCAGGTCTACTCTCATCTCCTTCTCTGAATGATGTGAAAGAAACAGAAGCTTAAGAGTTTGTGTCTCCCACCACCTCTCCCATTGGCGACGCGTCTTCCAGTTGATCACTCATCCCTTACTTTGTGTACAAGCGTATATATGTTTTGAAAGAGCAAGCCATGTCACATACGACCATAGACTGAAGAGAATTGGGCATCCCGTCCGCTCTGCCATACACAAGCTTCAGATCGGTGGATTAGTAGTTGGGTGGGTGACCACCAGCGAATCCCCACTGTTGTATGTTTTCTTTTACCTTTTTGTTCACGCGTAACCATCCTTCCGCAATCACCCACCACACACCAAAATTGGAATCCGCCTCCTTTTGAACTCCAGCATAGGTACGTAGTATTATCTAGACACCACACATATATAGCAAATAGCATTTATCGAAGCAGCCCTGTTTCAATCAAAGAACCCATCCATTCAAAACAACTATTTTAGTTTTTCAATCTACAGCAACTCTTCCCCTAAGAATTCGATAATCGAAACCCCAAATCCATCTTTCATCCTCATATCCAATTAGTACCTCTTCTTTTCCTCTGCCAAGGCCCTCCGTCTCTACTATTTTTTAGTTCCCGAAACTCTCTTTGAGTAGGAATGGGGATTTACGATGACCTGGTCCGTTCATATCACTTTGTTGTGTGAAGATCCTGAGCTGAGCTGAATTGAGCTGGTGTGAATGGAAGCAGTATGCGAACCGTGCTACTACGATTCAATTTTTCAGATTGGGTTTCTTGCGCGAGGAAAATTTGAGAGATGCGATCATTAAGTGTGGTTGTTTGAATGTATGAATGTATGAATGTATGAATGTATGAATGTATGAATGTATGAATGTATATGTGAACGGATAGGTGAATGGATGAATAAACGGATATCAAACAAAATTATTCGATTGCTCGTTTAGGGAATTCTTAGATCGTCCCTTGGTCCATTTACTTATACAAGTATACATCTCTGATAAACCATACAAATACGTAGCCATTAAACGCCACAACATCATTATACAAATCCCCAAGAATGCCAGCCAGTACCGTAGTATATTTCAAGGCCTTTTAATCATCATTACCCATCCATGAAAATCATATTGATCCCAACCCATCCCTCCAATTGACGGATTTTATAAGCCATGCACACTGGAGGCCCTTTCTCCCCCCTTCACATCACTACTTCCTCCACGTACGGTCGCGCCCCGCGGCACCCCCATCTCCTCGTCAACCTCTCCCTCTCTCCCATAACTAACATCAACCTCCACCGTTTCCTTAATCCCGAACCTCCACGCCTCTCTCAATATACTCTCTTCACTTCCGTTGTCCATCCCCGGCGCACTCCTCTGACTATTCACTTGCGTGTTATGACTTGATTTTCCACCCGCTCGACTCCTTTCATTCGCGGAGAACTCATCGCGGCGCAAAGAACTCAATGCATATCCGCCCCCTAGTTTACCTCCGCTTTTCTTGGGATAGGGACCACTTCCTTCGTCTGAAGACTTAGTCTGGCCTCGGAGTCGCTTATAGAGTGGTCGTAGAATGGGAATGCAGGCGCATAAAATGGCGACAAGAAGTTCACTGGAGCCCCAGAGGATAAGTGGGACTGTGTCATCTGTGGATTGGTGTGAATTTCTTTGCTTTGGCATCATGGCAATTTTTTAGCGGAGGATGCTTGAAGACTTACAAGTATAATCAGTTCGGGATGCTAGACCTCCTAGCTCAATAGCTCGAACAATACCACATATTCCCGCACTGAATAAAACTTACATCAGCATCAAGTCCAAAATGTTTTCCACGGTTCCTGATCAAGGAAAACTTACAAAATACCCAATGTGAGGCCGAAGGAAATAGTCAATCTCTCCTTCTTTTTCAGTTGAACAGGCGCCAGAAAATACCATGGAAACAATGCCAGAGTAAAATCCATCATCGCTGTGTAGCTTCCCGAGAAAATTGCATTCGCTGTGAAATTGAAGTTGACAGTGTGAGGGAGTGTTGGATCAAAGACTGCCGCGATGGGCGAACTTTGGAAGAAGTCGAGAAGGGCACAAGAGACACAAACGATAACTGTACTGACGATACAGGTCCAAAGGAAGACCTTATGCCAGGGAACAATGACGAGACGCAAGAGGAAGACGGCGACGGCGGATTTGCTGGTAGCGATGGCAATGATGTTGCATGTTTGACCAGCGATTTCCATCTTGTTCGACATGACGAATCTAGAACGCATGGGGATCAGTTCTTGCCCTCCTAAATAACTAAGTGCGGTATCTGCACTAGGTCTCCATCGAGAAGTGAATGTTGATATTAAAATCAAAACATTCAAACTGAATTGAGCATAGGCTACTCATTTATAAGATTCGAGATAACTCACTGAGCAGCTGTGATATTGACAAAATGGGATCCCAATCCTTGGCTAGCTGCCGCCGTACAGAAAGCAGTATATGCCACGAACAAGATCTATGATAATTGTTTCGTTAGTATTGAGTCCGACAAAATATAGGTTGGCAGTTGGCACTTACAAGACTGGCGACAATAAGCCAATCATCATAACCCGTAGCTTGAACGATATAGTATCTAGTGTACATCCGCAGCCCTACAAAAACGGCTGCAGCGAATGTCTCAATCCACATCACCAAGATAATGATAGGACCCAAAGCTGACAAGTGACCCATTGTGCCAGCGGGCTAGTACGCCCAGACGTAATGTATAACTGCTTTTGGAGATTTTTCACCAGAACTGTAGCGACCGATACTATTGATGTGAATATATGAAGTTTCTCTTGGTATAGATAATTCGTGCAGTGTCGGTATTTGTCAACAAACTTTTGCTAACAGGATACAAAATATTGTGAAGAATGAGGTTTGCATTTGAAATACAGACCTTTCCATTTCTTCCTTCAAGTAATATAAAGATTGAAAAAGTGATTGTCTGCATAGGAAGCAAAAGTCTGGGATCCAGAGGGGATCTTCATGATGAATACAAATTTGGAACTTACTTATCTGCTCAGTGTCTGCACGTTGACCAAAGTTTTAACTAGGGGGCCGAAAATAGGAAGTTTAATTTTATGAATGTTGATGAGCGATACTTCTTGATGGGTTCCTTTTTTGAGGCAACTCGTGCTGCATGTTTTCTTCTTTGCTTGCAAGTAGACACCACGGAGAATTCAACGGGAAAGCTCATCCCCGGTGGCGAATAGTATTACATGAAGTAGAGCTGAGTCGATCCCAAGATGTGAGCCTATCGCGGATCCCCTAAAAATGTTCAACAATGCAACTTCTGTAGTAGTTAATGGGGTTTGGAATAGTTTTCAGTGGAGCCGTGTCAGAATTGGATCAGAGACCGATTCATTATATACTTCGTACGTATGTGAAGTTGAAATGTGGAGACTAATCACTGATCAGAAACCTTTAAATATTAAGGATTGTGACAAACTGCTTACGGCAATTACATTACTTAATGAAGTCGATTACCCTCTAAAGGCTCCGAACGTTCCCACGCATCCGTTGATACTAAGAAGCCTTAGTTAAACCTACGAACAAATAATGAGACCCTATAAGAAAGGCTCATATGGTCTGAATGCAAGTATATTGCGACAATCCAATGACTTATTTCGGCCTAGCATTGCTTTTGGGGTGTTTTCCCTTTAGGAAAAGCTCCAGCTGGACAAATTAACTGCCACATCAAATTCATCAAACCCGAATTCTTGCAAGGCAACACTATTATTTCGAAATTGAATAATAATATAAAAAAATGTTAATTTGAATCAGAGATCTTAGAATAGCTATGTAATGCATACCTCTTGTTATTGCAACTTAACTCACAACGAAGAACATTGATTGTCCAATCCAGTAAAGAGTTTTGAAAATTAAGTGATTGTCAGTTTTTCCGTCCAGCTAGAGAAGAATTGCTTTTTTTTCCAAATACGACCTTGATATCGACTTGGCCGTCAGTCATTATGGCTAAGGTCAAGTATGCAGAGTACTGCACCTTCCAAGGATCCCTTGATAGGTTGCAAGGAAAGTTGCAAGGGCCAGGGTATCCGACCCGCAATTGGTCTACGGAATCTTTTCATCGTCCCGAAAATGAAGCAGTTCCTGACTCTTCATGTTCATTGCACGATTAATGCATGTCGATTCGGCTTACATAGGAAGCAGAATGTCAGAGATATGCATAATTCGAGAGAAGTAAGATGGAGACTTCCAATTCAATATCCACTACAAAATTACGACAAGAAGAAAAGAAAGCTGTCCACTGAATTGGTAAGTTCCCACTCGGTAAACTTGCATCTTCATCCCGCAGAGCGCATAGCTCCACAGACATATGAGAACGGGAATTGGCCCCATATATAATGTAAACAAGCTGTTGCTGGCACTCCATAATGCGTTGAGCTATTGTGGATCGAGGTTTGCTTACTTCAGAACGAGGGGGAGAGTAACGTGAAACTTTTGTAGTGTAGTATCGCCATGCTAGTAGTGCATGCAAATCGCGTGGTTTAAACACTGTTCAACAACTGGTGCTACATAAAATCCTCCTTGTCATCTTCTCGAAATATGGATCAACTTCAAACTCCCGTAGCAATGTCTCCAATTGACGATCTGGCGTCAGCGCCTGTTCTTGGAGACTCTTCTACACGTTTCAGAGAATAACCCCACTACCGCGTGATCGTCTCTATCCATGAATTGAGGGTTGCTCCGCATGTGACCCACTCGAAAGGCAACATTTGGCGGAAGATCATACCTCTTCGATAAGAATTCATTCCGTCTAGTGATTTTTTAGATAGGCTCATAGTAGACAGCAAGCCCGGGAGGTTGAAAGCACTCTTGGGTTTCTCGAAGTATATCTCTCTCTCTTTGGTGGCGTGTCCGATTTTTGCTTCTTCTTGAATTGATCCCCTTGTTCTTCTTCAGGCACATTTCTTCACATCTTAAAAAACATTCTTTCCTCAGAAATCAAAAGAGATGGCGGCCCCTCTTATTACCACCGGCACCCCTCTCGCCATTCGTGTACCAAACGCAGCTACTACACCAGCAGCGAATGATCCTCTCGCCCTGCCACCAGGAACTACTTCAGAGAAGTTCGCAGAGTTCATTTCTCGTGCTGAACAAACAACTGGTGCTGAAAATGTCATCATTATCAAGAAGAAAGAAGAGCTCACAAAGGAGCTCTACACTGACCCTTCCAAAGCGCACGATATGTACCACCTCTTCGACAAAGATTACTTCGTCGTATCTGCCACCGTCGCACCCCGCAACGTCGAAGAAGTCCAAGCAATTGTTAAACTCTGCAACGAGTATGAGATTCCGCTTTGGCCATTCTCAATTGGCAGAAATGTAGGATATGGAGGAGCAGCTCCAAGAGTTCCTGGAAGCATCGGTCTGGATATGGGCAAAAATATGAACAAAGTGCTAGAAGTCAACAGTGAAGGAGCATATGCGCTATTAGAGCCAGGTGTGACATTCTTCAGTCTATATGACTACCTGAAGGAGAAGAAGCTAGACGATCAACTCTGGATTGATACACCGGATTTGGGTGGCGGCTCTGTCGTTGGAAACACCATTGAGCGTGGTGTAGGATATACCCCATACGGAGGTTCGTAATATATTGCATCTGAGAATGGGAGACTTGCTGATGCTCGAAGCAGATCACTTCATGATGCATTGCGGTCTCGAGGTCGTGCTTCCTACCGGAGAGCTCATCAGAACAGGTATGGGTGCTTTGCCCGATCCAACGCAGCCAACAGTTGAGGGCGGAAGTTTGGATCAACAACCAGGAAACAAGTGTTGGCAGGTATGCTTATTCTGAGGGCGCAACTTAGGAGGTTTTCAAGCTCATCATATTCTAGTTGTTTCCTTATGGTTTCGGCCCATACAACGATGGTATCTTTTCGCAGAGCAACCTCGGTATTGTGACAAAGATGGGTATTTGGGGTAAGTAATATGAACGCCTCCATCTTTGCGCCATGACTGTATGCTGACCGCGATAATTCAGCTTATGCCAAATCCAGGGGGTTATCAACCTTATCTCATCACCTTTCCAAAGGATGCCGACTTGCCAAAGATCGTTGACGTCATCCGTCCCCTGCGATTACAGATGGTCATTCAGAACGTTCCTTCAATCCGACATATTTTGCTTGACGCAGGAGTAATGGGAACTAAAAAATCATACTACGATGTTGATCGTCCTCTTAATGAAGAAGAACTAGATGCCATAGCCAAGAAACTCAACCTTGGACGCTGGAACTTCTATGGTGCTTTATACGGCCCCAAACCTGTACGCGATGTCCTCTGGCAAGTCGTTAAGGATGCTTTTGGAACTATTGAAGGTGCCAAATTCTTCCTTCCAGAGGATATCAAGGAGAAGTGTGTTCTTCATATCCGTGCCAAAACGCTACAAGGTATTCCAACGATTGATGAGATTGCCTGGGTAGATTGGCTACCCAATGGTGCTCATCTTTTCTTCTCGCCTATCTCTAAGATCAGTGGTGAAGATGCAAGCAAGCAGTATGCTCTCACCCAAAAGATGACTCTAGAGGCCGGGTTTGATTTCATCGGAACTTTCACCATCGGTATGCGCGAGATGCATCATATCGTATGCTTAGTATTTGACCGTGAAGATGAGGATCAAAAACGACGCGCCCACAAGCTTATCCGTGAGCTCATCCAAGTCTGTGCCGATAATGGATGGGGAGAATATAGAACTCATATCGCCTTGATGGACCAGATTGCAGAAACCTATGGTTGGAACGATAATGCGCAGATGAAGTTGAACGAGAAGATCAAGAACGCTCTTGACCCCAAGGGTATTTTAGCACCCGGAAAGAATGGAGTATGGCCGGCATCATATGATCGTTCAGCCTGGAGATTAGATGCCAATTCCGAAAGAACAAGATCTTGATCGAATCGAAGGAGCAGGTAGACTCATATCTAAACATGTATATTTTACGAAAACGAATAATAATTGAAGACATGTAAATATGCCTGAAACGCTACGCAGATGCTAGAAGAACCATAAATAGTAGTGAAAATGTTTCAGGATATATAACCTTAACTCACAATCTATCAAATCTGTTTATTGAGATCAAAATCTTGTGGAAAGCCTGAGATGAAGTGTTCTGATAAATTTCAACTGAAATGTTTGTGATGAAGGTTGATCAACGTTTCAAACTTTAATTAAGCTAATAAGTGGTTTTGATATTGATATGATCGAGCAAGATCACATGATGTATTCCGATCTACTGCTGGCCGGAGGGTTCCTTCCTTATTACACACCGACAAAATTTAACATTAGTCCAAAGCCATCTCAAACCCACCTCAAGATACAATGAGTGAAACGTATAATTCCCCAGGCATCGAAGATGTGCACCGAAGATATGTGAAATTTCGTCAGAGGAATGAGAACTGATTTTCAATTTCTTCCAGTGAACCACCCGTTGATAAACGTCCAAGTGTGGCTGAAATCCTCGCACATAAATCCTACCCAGATACAATATGGAGACTTACCCCAACGCAAAGTGGAAAGTTGCCGATTGGAGTTGGTAGGGGAGGACCCTTCAAAATAGACTGGGAGGTTCATGGCAGTGGAGAGACGAAGGTTGTGGTAAGTTGACAATCTTGGACTTTGGTGTGACGTGTATCACATGCGAGTGCATGACGGACTGGAGAGCGAAGAATGGGTAGCTCAAAACTCAAGAGTGTTGAGACTCGTACCTCAATGTTGTTTACGCTTCTGCTCATTTCTCTCTGTCGTATCCCCGACATTGTTTGCGTCTCCGCAAACTTTTGACTGTACAGACAAAACTTGGTCTCGATTGGGTCACGTGTTCATGTATCAACATGCTAATCTGGAGTTTTCATCCAGTGGATTATGGGCTTAGGCTCTAACAAGTCAACATGGCAAAGACAAACCCTGTACTTTGGTCATGAAAGAGGAGACAAATATTCCTCGTTAGTATTTGATAATCGAGGTATGGGCGGATCAGACACCCCCATCCTACGATATTCTACCTCGGAAATGGCCAAGGATTGTATCGAGCTACTCGACCATTTAGGTTGGACGAAGGACAGACAGCTCAACATCACCGGAGTCAGCATGGGTGGAATGATTGCACAAGAATTGGTGAGTTTCTATATACCTTAATAGTTACATTGTTCAAGACTCATTTGCTATTTTGATATATAGGCATTGATGATACCAAATCGAATTGCCACTCTTAACTTACTTTCCACCGCACCTTATATCGAAAACACAACTAGCTTCTTTGAAAACCTGCGCACACGAGTTATGATGTTTGTCCCTAAGCCACTTGATCGATCTGTTTTGGATGCATCGTTGTCGTTGTTTCCTGCGTCGTGGCTATCATTACCAGATACTAGTCCGTTGTTGCTTTCTTTACTCTTGTGATGCACTTCATATCCGCCATGTTTTTTTTTTTCTTTCTTTTCACTGCCACGACTCTACTTCCTCTACTTCAGAGACCTAACATCAAAATTAGTCCATCTGCCTTCGGAATCAACCCCCTTGGTTGAACCACCACCTGGTCATCCTTTTCCCTATGCACACTTCTCTACTAACTACGAGCGCTTTGCTGCTGCCGAGTTAACCAAAAGACTCGATCCTAAAGCTTTCAAAACATACGGGTTTCTGCTCCAGGCTATTGCTGCTGGTTGGCACCACAAGAGTCCTGCGCAATTGAAAGAACTAGGGGACAAAGTTGGAAGAGAAAGAATCGCAGTCATGCAGTAAGTATTTTAACTAATCGATGAGTTGATACATTCGATGTTCTGATGACTGAATAACAACTAACATCTTACATAGTGGCACACTCGACCGACTTATATCGTTTCCTCATGGCGAGAAGCTTATAGCATTTATACAACCAGGTAGAGCCGAGATTCGAGAAGGTGATGGGCATGCAATTCCTATCCAGGAAGAAGACTGGTTTCACGCGAAGATGGTGGCATTTTTTGAGGAATTTAATTGAGATAAAGAGCGTCCAGATTCAAACAAATCCAAAGTACACTATATTGTCAATGAATAGATATCTCCATCATAAATCCGCATCTTTTCCATCACTATGTCTACCCCTGACTACGACTCTGGATAATTTCCCACTGTCAAAAAGGTGCATGTCCATCTGTATGTTCATTTTTACTTACGGGAGCAGGATACCTGGGCTGGAGAGTTGACCTAGCATCTCTATCTATCAACAATGAACAATGCCGTGCCAGACACCCTAGCAGCCTTTGTCGTATCAGTAATGTTTTCAAAAGAAAGACGGATAAGAGAAGAAATATCTTGAGACACATTGACATCTTGAAATGGTGTCTCGGGTGGCTGTGCTACATATAGATCGACAAAATATTTGACAGCTTGGGCGACACCCAGCCACATCTGCCGACATCTGGGCAGGCCCAGTGATATATATCAAGCCCTGATTTGTGATTCCAAACTCTGCATCTCCTTCAATTCAATTCAAACCCCGAACATTTTCCCAATCACAGGAAAAATTCCATACACCTTGTGCCATTGGATTATCAGCAATCTTTTACTTTGTTGAGCACAATCATTACTGAAATATTGATATTTCAACTGTTCTCTCCATCTTCCACACACACATCTGCATTGATATCCATTGCCCACCCAGGTACGGAGATGCAAGTCCTATTGAAAGATGATTGCACTACCTATTCAACGATTGTCAGATCGCAAGTGGCATTCGATCTTGCTTTGAGAATGAAAGGGAGGAGGGTAACATTAGCCGCATGTACCGCCAATTCAATTCAGGAGGACAAGATCCGGTTGCGATGATAATTGGATGAAAGATAGAAACGTTTCCGATTTCCTTGCATTCTACTAAACTGCAAGCGACCCACAGAACAAGCAAAGTTAGCAAGTTTTTTGACTTTTTTAAGTCCCGATAACTTTTGGGATTGGTTGATACGCACGTCGTCGGAAAGGTAATTATCCCGTTCTTTCTCTGCTTCGTCTGATGTTTCCCAGAAAAGAAAAGAAAAGAAAAGAAAAAACCTTGGGACTTGGGAGAGGTTCTTGATACATACGATTTTGTGTGTATGTGTAATCAAACTTTGTCACGTTCGTATCCACTGCGTACAGAAGAATTTTGTATTTTGTACTTTGTATTTTGTATCTCCTCTTAGGAAAGGCAAAATTCCCCCAGAAAGCGAATCCACTAAAAAAACAACACGACTTGGAGTGCGTAACTCAACTTTTCATTCATCGCAGTCAACAACTCACAACCGTTTATCGCCATGTTACTCCTGTAGGAATGTCGCTATTGTTTCATCGAAACCTTTCGTTGCGTTTCTTGTTTTGTGATCTTCACTCATACTTGCCCAAACAGAGCAACGAAACTACCCCACCATAATACAGCAATAAAGTCTCGACTCTCTTTTCGACCAGAGCTGGGTGTCCTGCCCTCCGATTGCTATACCTATCATTTTCGGCCTGGAAGTGAGGAAGAGCTTGGGATTAGGTGTTGGGCCAAAACTGCTGCCCGAGTAAGAAAGACATACAACTCGAGTAGGTGACAGTAAAACTTAGCAATGGAACATCTGCCGTCAATACTCAAAGGTCTCGGCATAACCTCCTCAGCAGATGGTGAATCAAAAGATTCAACGCAGTTCACTTCGCTGGCTGTGGATCCAATTTTAAGTCCTCTCGGGTCGCAAGATGATTTGAGCAGTATAGGAGTTCTCGAGTTACTCGAATCAGATGAAAGAGCGGTTTTTATACTTGAGCTCACGAACCCAGGTGATACAACGCCGGTATATACGAATCCGCGATTAAAAGAATTACAAGTGCTGGGAAGCAAAGTTGGGGAATCTCTTGATCTGCGCGTGGCAACAAAGGATGAGAAGCACAGGGGATTTTTAGAATGGGCAGGAGGCGATTTCAGCGATGGAAAAATACCTGTTACACTATATTGTGGAGTGAGATGGAGTGCGCAAACAATGAGAAATCGATGGAGGGTTATTGCTGGAGATGTAGGAGGAAGGATAGACGTTGCCGGGGACAAACCTACCATTCAACGATCGCAAACTCTCTCGCCACAGAAAGCACGTCGCATGTCAAAGTCTGACGACGCATCTAGATCCTCACTCGAATCTCAATTAGAGGCATATCGGCTTCATCGGGAAGACACAATATCAATATTTCCACCAGCACAAGAACCAGTTACTTTGAAAGAGGTTCTTGAAGTGGGAGATACTACACTTGGTCCATTCGATATATTGGCGCCAGACACGATAGTAGAATTGTCGCCGCATGTACGATTCTTCCTCGATTTCGATTGGGCATCTACGGAGCTTGGCCCCATAGATTCCTGGCCGGTTGAGCTACGAAGGATGTGCAATTTCCTCATGTCAGACCCAAGACCTGCGGCAATGTATTGGGGCCAATCCAGAGTTATGATGTACAACGAACCTTATATGTTGGTCACAGGACAGAAGCATCCAGGGATGATGGGGAAAACCTTCTCGGAGGCCTGGGCTGAAGTTGAAGACGCATTTAGCGATTCATTCAACAAAGCGTATGAAACTGGCAAAGCTTCGACTATGGATGATGCAAGGTTCTTTATCGAAAGACATGGATACTTGGAGGAGACCTATTATTCATTATCGATTTTACCGTTCAGTTGCAACAGCTATGGCAGCCATCTTGCTTTGTAAGTCGGGATTGTATTGTCTTTGCACTAATTTGAGACCGGCACTAATTTGATGTGTAGTTACAATTCTGTATTTGATACTACTAGGCAAGTAGTTGCAGATCGTAGAATGATATTTTTACTACGACTTGGACAGTTCATTGCTTCATCTCGAGAACCCAAGGACTTTTGGCAGCAGCTTCTACGGGGACTTGAACCAGATCATCCCGATTTACCTTTTGCTTTGTTGTACTCAGCCGGCAATGACGTTAACGAGACCCTTTCGGAATCTTCAGCATTAAGCCACAACTCCAACTGGGTACTAGAAGGATCTGTTAGATTCCCTGGTGCTGGGAAGAATGTACCGAAACATATTAATTCTGATAATCCCATGGAAGAATTTCTACCCAGCTTTAGCGACCTTGTCAAATCAGATTGCCCTACGCTCTTACATCGAGAGGATGGCACTATTCCTCCATCTTTGACCACTGCTCTTCAGGGTACGCTTGCATGGGATACGGTTGTTTTCTTACCAATTAGAGCTACTACAGAAAGCGTTCTCGGCTTTCTTATCTTTGGACTCAATGCTCGACGAAAATACGATGATGACTATAGATTATTCATACAACTTCTCAGTCGACAACTTGCTACTTCAATGGCTGCGGCAGTACTTGTTGAAGATGAAATCCAACGTGGTCGAATGGCCGCCGAACATGCTTACCAAGATCGCAATCGACTCTCAAGGAAACTCGAAATTCAAGCTCATGAAGCCTCAGAAATTGAAAGTCGTTTCAGAAGAATGGCTGATCTAGCTCCTGTTGGGATGTTTCATATTGGCGTTAATGGCAAATTAGTTTATGCTAACGAACTTTATTATAACTTAACGGAACATGACAGAGATATCAATACTAAAATGGGCTGGTACGAGGTACTTATGGAGGAAGATTGGCCAATCATGGATGTGCAATGGAAAAAGCTTATGGATGGGGAACCTGTCTCTTTTGAAATCCGGCTACGAGCACTTTTCAAGGGGGCTGACAAAATCGGTGATGAAGAAATTGATGGTGCAATTTGGATAATAGCTGCTGCTTATCCTGAAAAGGCGCCAGATGGTACTGTCGTTGGTGTTTTGGGTTGCTTGACCGATATTAGTCGACAGAAGTGGGCCGAAGATTTTCAAAAGCGAAAAATGCTTGAAGCGATTGAGTTGAAGCGTCAACAGGAAAATTTTATTGACATGACATCACACGAAATGAGGAATCCATTATCAGCCATAATCCAATGTGCAGACATGATCGGAATTTCGGTCAAGGAATTTGATGGAGGAACTAATGATGTTATTCTTCCAAGAGAGGCGGTTCATGGATACGCAGATGCAGCTTCGACGATCATACTATGTGCTCAACATCAGAAGAGAATCATCGATGACATTCTCACGCTGAGCAAGCTCGATTCAGATTTATTATTCGTCACTCCTACCGAAGTACAGCCATTACCTATCATCAAAAATGCACTGAAGATATTTGATGGAGAATTACAGAAGAGTGATGTCGCGCTAAGATTTCATGTATCACCTACATTCGAAGAACTCAATGTTGACTGGATCAAACTAGATCCAAGTAGATTAGTACAGGTCCTCATCAATCTTGTCACAAATGCGATCAAATTCACCCAAACTCAACCAAAACGGAATATTGCCATCACAGTGAGCGCAGCACTCGAGCCTCCTAGCACCCCAGGTCTTGTCTACCTTTCAAAAACTAATAGTCACAAAGACATTACGCCAGATGGTGAATGGGGAGATGGAGAAATTGTATATCTTCACATTGAAGTCCAAGATAGTGGCCGCGGTCTCGATGAAACGGAACGCAATCTTTTGTTTAAAAGATTTTCCCAAGCCTCACCACGAACACATGTTCAATATGGTGGATCTGGTCTGGGTCTCTTTATTTCTCGAGAACTTACAGAACTTCAAGGTGGTCAAATAGGTGTCGCCTCAAAAGCAGGGGTTGGAAGTACCTTTGCATTTTACATTCGAACTCGCCGCTGTGATCCGCCTGATGATAAGGAATCTTTTGTTCCTCAAATGGATGCTCAAGCGCAAAATAATATCATTACGAATAATTCTCTCGCTAGGGTCAAAGGACCTACTCGCCATCCTTTAAGAAGTCGTCGTTCTCAAAGTCCGGCTTCTTCAACACCAAAACACATTCTAATCGTTGAAGATAACATTGTCAATCAAAAAGTAGATTTTTCCCTCCCACTGTTTATTTCAGAACTTCAAGCTAACGATTTATTAGGTCCTAAGTAAACAACTTCGTAGCGCAGGTTGTATTGTAAGCGTCGCAAATCACGGTCTAGAAGCCCTTGAATTCCTCGAAAAATCTACATTTTCCACAACTCTACCAGAAGGCGTGTCAGGTATTCCATGCAATATTTTATTAATGGATCTGGAAATGCCAGTAATGGATGGTCTTACTTGTGTACGGCAGATTCGCAAATGGGAAAAGGAAGGAAAGGTTAGGGAGAGAGTACCGGTAATAGCTGTGACGGCTAATGCAAGGAGTGAGCAGATTGCTAGAGCGAAAGAGGCGGGTATGGATAGTGTTGTTACTAAACCTTTTAGGATAGGAGAGCTGGTACCAGAGATGGAGAAGTGGTTGGTGAGGGGAGTAGTGTTGGATAGGTTGAAGGAAGGTGCAAGAGATGAGAGAGCTGGAGTAGAGAG